AAAATTACGAATTGTTTTAAACAGAATTTTTCATGAAATTAAAGACAATTTAATGGAGATGGTCAAAAATAGGGATAAAAAATACAAATTGTTTACTAAGTTTGAAGAAAACTTTTACTACTTTTATAGTAAAAAATTTCTGGTAAAGCATTTTTGGTAATTTTTACTACTTTTGGAGTAAATTTTGCTACTTTCAAAGTAAATTTTACTAATTTTTACAAATATTTACTTCGAACGTAGCAAAATTTACTCCAAAAGTAGTAAAAATTCCCAGAAATGCTTTACCGGAAATTTTTTACTATAAAAATAGTAAAAGTTACTTTATATTTTTCTCCGTCTAGAAAAATGAAATAAATATGAAAAATATAGAAGATAGAATAAATAAGAAAAAATATAAAAAATAAAATTGCGTTTTGTTAAATAGTGTAAAATTTAATTTAAACTATTTTTAAAAAACACAAATTTGATGTTCTATTATTTTTTGAAAAAAATTATTAATTAACAATAAAATTGTTTATCAAGTTTAAAGAACAATAAAATAAATATGGAAAAATACAGAAAAATGAAAAAAATATGAAAAACGTAGAAATACAAAATAAATAGGAAAAAATATAGAAAAATAAAATTAGATTTCGTTAAAAATAAAATATAGTTTAAACTATTCAAAAAAATCCAAAATTTATTTGTTTAATTACTTTTTGAACCGAATTGTTCATGGAATTCAAAAAACCATTTTAGAGAAAGTAAAAAAAAAGGATAAAAAAAAAATAAAAATTGTTCATGACATTAAAAAAAAATGTTAGAGAAGGACATAAAAAAGGGGAAAAAAATAAAAATTGTTTACTAAGTTTAAAGAAAAATAAAATAAATATGGAAAAATATAAAAAACTAAAATTAGATTTTGTTAAATATAAAATTTAGTTTAAAGTATTAAAGAAAAATCTGTTATTATTTGAAATAATTAATAATAAAATTCCAAAAATAGAAGAGAAGGGCAAAAAAAAGGTAAAGAAATTACAAATGGTTTACTAAGTTTAAAGAAAAATAAAATAAATATGGAAAAATCTATAAAAATATAAAATAAATAAGAAAAAAACGTAGAAGAATAAATAGGAAAAAATGTAGAAAACTAAAATAAATAAGAAAAAATACAGAAATCAAAATAAATACGGAAAAAAATGTAAAAATCTAAAATAAATAAGAAAAAATATAGAAAAATAAAATTAAAAAAAATGACAGAAAAATAAAAGAATTAAGAAAAATTGCAGAAAAGTAAAATAAGAAAAAAAATAGAAAAATAAAGAAATTACACAAAATACTAAATAATTCTATGACAAAAATATTTTTTAAATCAAACTATTTCTTTTTCTAAAAATTATACAACTTGATCTTTTCCGAATTTGAATAAAATTCCATTTCGGAGTTAAAAAACGAATTTTTATAGTTTTTATAATTATGTAAAAAAAAGAGAGTTTTTGTACCTTCGTGAACATTTACTTCGTGAATTTGTTACTATCGTACGTAAGATGATGAAAAAATAATGTTGAAAACTCTTGCAAAACTTTCTTGCTCTTCTTTTTAAGCCAAATATCGAATCAATGTTTTTCTCCTAATCTATATTAGCGAAACTTTCCAACAATGAAACTGTTTTTCAGTCAATGGAGTCCTAACATTTTTTTCCCCTGAAAAACATTAAGAAATTAGTAACGAAAATCATAAAAGAAAATTTGATTGTCACATTTTAAAAATAAAAAACTATTTCTCAAAAATGTGAATTTTTTTTTCTCATTTTGAATTATTTAACTGAATTACCTACTGTTTAAATTGTTTTATTCAAATACTGAAATTATTTATGTAATTAAGTTACTTAAATTATTCAATTAAATTACTTTTTAAATTATTTAATTTAAGTACTTAAATTATTGAATTTAATTATTTTTGCTAAATTATTCAATTTAATTACCTAATTTTTAAATTATTTTATTATAATATATAGATTTCAAGTGACTGTAAAAAGTCTTTCTGAATAATGGAAAAATTTAATTATCACGTATTAAATTTTTATTTTTCTGATTTCTTTTTTCAATTTCAAAAGTAAAAAATTTTCACACCTAATGAGCGTCTCTATGTTAATTAAAAGAATAATGTATTAATTGTCCCTCAATTTTTTTTCACTTCAAATATTTCTCCATCAGACAATTTTGAAAAAGTAAAATTTCTGAAACAATTTCTAATTAAATATAAGAATTGAATAACCTTGAGGAGACGAACAAAAAATAAAAACCATTCGAATGTAAATGCGCGCGTTATGAAATTTTTATAAGCTTGTCGATTTAAATTGATACGTTAATTTAAATGTGAATATTGTAAGCCAAAGAATTTCCTGTCTTGCAAATGAAAAACGCTGTGAATTTTTTTTTTTATTTTAATTTCGAGAGTGTTAAATATTAAAAGACGGAGAAAATCTATATTTTTCAAAGAGAAAAGTTTACAGTTTTACTATTTTTTTTGTAGTGAAAAAAGAAATTATTTTTAAATAAATAAATTTTACCAAAATTAAAAAAAAATCAAACTTATCTCGGAAATTTGGTTTTTAATAAAATAATTGAATGAAACTCCTTTTCTTATTCCAATAATAATTTCAATTCTAAATTTTTATAAAATTCAAATATTTTCAAAACATTTTTTAACTTTTTTTCAAAAAATTATAATTTTTCTTTACATTTTTTATTATAAATAAAAAAATTCTTTCAAATGTAAAATTTACTTCCATAAAACTTGATAAAATTTACAATTATTTGACAATTTTTCAATTAATTAATTTCAGGAATTCAATTATCTTCAAAGAAAATTGTAATTAAAATTTGTCAATTAACAATCTAATTTTTTCAGAATTAGACTCATTATAAAATTAGTGGAAAGTTTAATGAGTTTTTAAAATAAATATATTTAAATATTATTGAACTTCTACATAAATTGAAATTTTCAAACATTTTAAGTTGAAACCTTCTGAAATTTAATTATAATTCTAAAAATTGCTAATGTTTCTATTCTCCAAAATTCAATTCTTTTTTTTTAGGATTTTTAACTGAAATTCCTTTCTAAATCAATTATTTTTCAATACTTTTAATTTATTAAAAAGAAAGTTCACATAAAATACAATTAGAAAATTCAATTATTTTCTAGAAATTTTAACGAAAAATTTTGTACAAATAATGGTTTTAATTTAAATTTTCAATTTTAATTTAAAATTGCAATTTCTTTTTGGAGCCGAGTATAAATCAAAAATTGTTTAATATTTTCGCTGGAAATTCTGAAAATTGCTATTTTTTTTGTTCTATTGAAAAATGAATTAAATGCACAAAATTTTTTTAAAGAATTTGAAATTTCAATTAGTTTGAAAGGGGTCGTCCATAAATTACGTAAGACATTTTGGGGGGAGGGGTGGGTCTGCTAAATCTTACGAACCGTAGAAAAAATGGCGCTAATGTATGTAAAAAATCTTACAAAGGGGGGGGGGGGGGTGGTCAAATTTTCCAAAAAAATGACTTACGTAATTTATGGACGGCCCCAAAGCAGAATTTAATTAGAAATTTGTATGACTTTCTTGCTGACAATTCTAAAAATTGTTAGTTTTTTAGTTTCTTTTTTTTTAAAGTTAATTAAATCTACATATAAATGATACTTACTCCAAAAATTTTTATTAGTATTTAAAATTGTAAAGTTTTTCTGCAAGTAAAGTGTAAATCGAAATTTGTAATATTTTTTGTAAAAAGCAATTAAATGTACTAAAATTATTAGAATTTCATATTTCAATTTATTATTTTGGATGAAGAATTTAATTCGAAATTTGTAATATTTTTTACAGAGAAATCTGACAATTACTTTTTTGATTTTTATTTTAATTTTGTAAAATTAATTAAATTCACCAAAATTTTCAGTAGAATTTGAAATTTCAATTCTGCGGAGTATTAATAAAAGTTTGTAATATTTATGTATTTAAATTTCTGGAAATTACTGAAACATTTCTGAAAATAATTCTTTTCCCTGTATAGTTAACAATTTTTATTAGATTTTAAAATTTAAAGTTTTTCTTGAAGCAAAATATAAATTGTATAATTTGCAATATTTTTTTTACTAGAAATTTCGAAAATTGCTATTCAATGTATTTAAATTTCTAAAAATTACTGAAATATTTCTGATAATAATTTTTTCTTTCCTGTAAAGTTAACTAAATGAACGAAAATTTTTATTAGAATTTAAAATTGCAATTTTTTTTTGAAGCAGAGTATAAATTTGTTATTGTTTTTAATAGAAATTCTGAAAAATGCTATTTATTTTCTTTTTTTCTAAAATTAATTTAGTGTACTAAAATTTTTGTTTGAATTTGAAATTTTAATTATTTAGAAATCAGGGCATAAATAATAGAAATTCGTAACATTTTTTCCTTGGAAACTCTTGAAAAATTACATAAATTTTTTCAAAATTCTAGAAAAAAATTTTTTACAATCATTTCTTGGGAATTTGGTTTTGAATAAAAATGTGCCTACATAAATGTCACCAATTCAATATTTGTGAATGAAATGAAAATTTGAGATGGAGTACACACGAATATACATCTATATATATAACGTGGTAGTAAACAGAAATTTGAGCTCGTGTTTAAAAAAGGAATGTATAGGAATTTTTCTCCAAAATGGACATGGCGTTGAGATACACTATTTATTCGGTCAGCCGAATTCTAAAGGAAAGGATCAGGTCTACTTCCCTGAGGCCCATTGGGTTTTAACCCACACAGACACAGACACAGAGACACTATATCTACATCTATAGATACACTCACACTCTCAAGTAAATCACACATGATGAAGAGGAGAGAAGGTTGTTGGAATGAACCGGAGGGGTAGCGTCGACCCTACGGACGGAGAGAGAGTGAGAGAGAGAGAGAGAGTGAGTATAAACCTAGGGAAGTCCCCTTCGAAGCAAGAGAAAGGCCGTACCTCGATGCGGGATTCAGAACTCCTGCAGACTCCACTACCCATTCGCGCATAGGATTCTACCAGGCCTCACAAAAGTTCTTCAAAATGTATATAGAAGAAGCTTGTATTTGAAACGTGTTTCAAAACGCAAAGTGCACAAGGTTTTCGTCCCCTGAATGACCATAGCATCCGGCTCTCCAATATATACACGAATCCATCCACTCCTCCTATAATCTTTTATGCTCTGCCCATTTTCGAATCTTTGACTTTTGATTTTTTTCAAGTATTCCTCGTGGTTGGATGATCCATTTTAACATAAGCGAAAATATCTTTCTCTCATTTCCACTTGAAACCTATAAAATAAATCAACTAGATGAAAAAAAATCCAAGAAACAACATTTTATTTTTTTCCCTACACTCTTTGTACAAAAAAAAAATAAATATACTCTCTTGAAACATTATTTTATTCAATTGAGTTTTGAAAAATTGACTTGAAAAACCGAATTACAGGTCTTGGATCGACTTTAAGGCGCAAAAATGTAGCTTTAGTCGTTTAAAAATAGAAAAAAGTCGAAAAGGGCCTTTATTTATTTGACTTCCCACAAAAAATTTGTCTTCTACTATTTCCCTGATTTTCCCCTTTCATTAATTTATAAATTCAATTATTCAAAACTAAAATGATTTTCTTAAATAAATATTTAAATACTTATTCGTTTTTCCATGGGGAAAAAAAATTTCAATTTAAAACCTACTGAAATTCAATAATTTCTAAAAATTACAACCATAATCCCTTAAAATTCAATTATTTCTACAATTTTTAACTAAACTTCATCTCTAAATCAATTATTTTTAATAATTTTCCGAAAGTTCTTCGAGAATTCTACTATTTAAATTTAAATTCTTAAAATATTTTCATACAATTTTCTGAAGCTGGTTTTTATTAATTTTTATTTTCAAATTTTCATTTGTATATTTTTCTCTAAAATTCTTAAGAATTAAATTATTTCAATGAAGTTCTACAAAATTTCAATTACTTAAACTGTTTTTAATTATTCATTTCAAAAATTATTTGCTCCAGAATTTCAGTAATAATTCTAAAAAAATTAGATTTTTAAAAAATTATAGGAAAAAAATTTCAAATAATTAATTTTTAAAAAATATTTACATAAAATTTTCTGAAGCTAATTTTTATTAATTTTAATTCTCAAATTCTCATTTGAAGATTTTTCATTAAAATTTTGGAGAATTAAATTGTTTTTTTAAATTTAGAATTAAAATTCATCAAAGTTTCATTTTTACAAAAATTTGAATGAAAATTCAAAAGAAATTAATTGTTTTCAATTAAATTTTACAAGATTTCAATTATTTAAAATATTTTTAATTGTTTATTTCAAAAATTATTTTCTACTGAATTTTAGTAAAAAAATTGGAACATGATTGTTTTCTCTAAAATATGAAAAATAATTCTAAAGAATTTTAATGCTATTATTTTTTTCATGTTTTTGAATTTTCTGAAATATGTAATTGAAAATATATTGAAAATAATTTAATTTTAGAAAATTAGAATTCGAATAAATTCTTAGAATTACTTTTGTCAATAATATTTGAATATAATTTTTTAGAAGCTAATTTTCATTAATTTTCATTTTTTAATTTAACATTTGAAGGTTTTCCATTAAAATTTTTGAGAATTCAATTATTTTCAAAATTTAGAATTAAAATTCATCAAAGTTTCATTTTTACAAAAATTTGAATGAAAATTCAAAAGAAATTAATTGTTTTCAATTAAATTTTACAAGATTTCAATTATTTAAAATATTTTTAATTGTTTATTTCAAAAATTCTTTTTCTTAGAATTTTAATAATAATTCTAAAAAATTTGATTTTTAAAAAATTATAATAAAAAAATTCTATGAATTACTTTTTTAAAAAATATTTTCATACAATTTATCAAAGCTAATTTTTATTCTTTTTCATTTTCAAATTTTCATTTGAAGATTTTTCATTAAAATTTTCGAGAATCAAATTATTTTCAAATTTTGGAATTTAGATTCTTCGAAATTTGATTTTCGCAAAATTTGTAAAAAATATTTTTAAACAATATTGTTGAAAGATAATAGTTTCTCAATTCTATATATATATATATAATTGAAAAATATCCAAATAATGGAAATTCGGTAAAATCCTTTAAATTGCAATTGAAAAAAAAGAATTCAATTTAAAAAATACATTTTTTTCGAATCGAAGAGATTTGAAAAGAGTGTTTCCGAATTTCAATTCTACTAATTAAAATATCGAACAATTTAATATAATAATGAACTCTTTGAAAACTTCCTTTTATCGCGGACCCAATTAATATTCAGATAATAAAAAAAGAAGAACAAAGCGACTGACAGAGATAGGAATATAGAAAATATAATTTCTCTTATTACTCAACCAAATTATATTCTATGGAAAACTCTCATTATTTCTGAATATATATATGTATATATATAATTATATATCGTACAAAACGAAATAGAATGTGGAGAATATTTTGTGGACAGAGCATCTAACAAGTAGATAATAAAAGAACGAAAATAATGTTTTTATATCAACATGACATGCGACAATATTCGCATGTTGGAAAAAAAGATGTGCTAAATGATGGGCGGAATTTTTTTTTTTTAATTCAGAGAACTATTTTTTTCAAAGGCGAAAAAAAATTTAGGATTAACGTAATTAATATGATATTCAGCTCTAGTAAAATTAAAAGTTTAAGTAAAATATTAATTAATTCTACAAAAAAGCAAGTAATTTTTAGAATTTTCAGTGAAAAAATATTACAATCTTTTATTTATCTACTTCGTTTTCAAAATAATTGAAATTTCAAAATGCTAATAAATATTTTCTTACATTTAATTAATTTTCCAAAAAGAACAAAAATCGTAATATTTAGAATTTCTAGTAAAAAATAATGCAAATTTTACAATCTGCTTCCAAAATTATTGAAATTGCAAATAATTTTAAAATTTCCAGAATAATTGAAATTTTCAAATAATTCTATGCACTTCGAAAATAATTAAAATTTGAAATAGTTCCCTTCGCACTTCGAGAGTAATTGAAAATACAGTTAATGCAAATTCTAAGCAATTAAATTTCATAATGTCAATTTTAAGTAATAAAAGTTTCAAAATTAATTGTAATTCTCATAAGTAATTGTTTTAATTCATTATAATTCAGAATAATGATACTTTTCAATTATAATCATATAGTCGCAGGCAATGTTACTTTCAATTAACGGTATAAAATTAATGTTCGTTTCCACAAATGTCAGTTTCATTAAATGAAAGTCGTCAACTTATAATTATAATCGCAATTACTGAAATCTGTCCATTATTAAGTATTTTTAAAATCATCAATTACTCTAGAGAAAAAATTACAATTATTTCGCCTTTTTTTCCACATGAAAATAATTTTCTTCAGATTCGAATTTTATTGTTCGTTTTCTTTCAGATTTTTAAAGAAAAATTATCTAATTTCTCAAGTGCATTAAAATTTGGTAAAATTGATTTTTTTTAAATAAAAAAAAGGCGAAAAACAAAATTTTAATCTGGAGAAAATTAGTTTCATGTGTGGAAAAAAGGGACAAAAAATTATAATTATTTATTTAATTACAATTGTAATTATTGAATTGTAATTATTAGGTAAATATTTCTAAAATTGTCAATTACTTTAGAGAAAATTTATATAATTGTTTGCCTTTTTTTCCACATGAAAATAATTTTCGCCAAATTAAAATTTGATTGTTTCGTTTTTTTCAGATTCCAATACAATTATTTAATTTCTAAATTCTTTAAAATTTGATGAAATTTATTATTTTACTCCAATGAAGTTCATAAACGTTTATAGTCAATGATTTAAAAAAAGCATTTTTCACACGAATGACAATAAATTTTTCCTCTTTTACAAATTTTTCTCTTTTAAAAATAATTGATTACCAAAATTTGTAAAATAATTGATCAAAATAATTAATTGTGAAATAAATGATCAAAAAAAAAAATTGTAAATTATTCAAAACATTTGCAAATTATTTCTAAAATAATAATTAATGAAAAATTTGGTTAAAAGTTTGTAAAATAATAAATTAACAAAATTCGTTAATAATTTGTAAAATAATTAATCCAAAAATTCGTTAAAAATTTTGTAAATTAATTAACCAAATAAATTCGTAATCAATTATTTTTGAAATATTTAATCAAGAAAATTCATAAAGTAAAAAAATTTATCAAATAAATTCGTAAAAAAATTTGTTAAAATATTAATCAAAAATATTTGTAAAAAATTTGTAAAATAATTGATCAAAATAATTAATTGTGAATTAATAGAACAAAAAAATTGGTAAATTAATCAAAGAATTTGATAATAATTTGTAAAATAATTAATCCAAAAATTCGTTAAAAATTTTGTAAAATAATTAACCAAATAAATTCGTAAACAATTTTTAAAATAATTAATCAAGAAAATTTGTCAAGAAGTTTGCAAAATTATTAATCAAAAATATTTGTGAGAAACTTGTAAAATAATTAATCAAAAAAATTGGTAAATTTGTAAAAAATATTGAAAAAGTGAAAATTTACAGAAATTCGGTTAGAAAAATATTCTTTCTTCCGAATCGTCGAAAATAGAAGTTGTGAACTCTACATTTAATTTCGGATAGAACGTGTTAAAAATTCAAAATTTACGTAACAATATTGCAATTATTAAAAAACGAAGAAGTAAAAAAAGAAAAGTGCCTACGGTGATTGCAATAAGGAATCCAACGGAAAGATATCCTGTACTTAATAAAAGATTATAGTTGCTGGTATATAATTCGAGGATAATAAATATAAAAGCAGCACAAATGGTGGTTAATCCAAGCATATCTTTTTCTTGGTAAACCTTATACGCAAGAGCAGGTTACTTTTGCTTGCTTTTGTCAGAAAAGGTATCGCCACTCTTTTCGCCTTGAAGATTATGAATCATATGAATAGAGGATCAGATTTTTTTTCTCTCCACTAGTGTTAAGTTACTTGAGGGATAAAATGGTACAAATGTGTGACCCATCATTGTCAAGGAAAGTCAAGGAAATCCTCTTTTTTTTTCTTTTTTCCAATTCATAAATATATATATATATATATATATATATATATATATATATATAAAAATATGTGAACTTTTTTTCTCACTGTCATTTCTGAATGACAAATCTCTATCGTGATATTTTGTCAATAGATATCGATTTTTTTTTCGAGGAGCAGTCAGTTTTGAAATGTGTGACAGTTTAATGAAGCTAAGAACAACAGACGCCTCCTGTTGCTAATCAAAGTCGCGCAAACACACATCATCAGCAAAATGCAATTTCGAGTCATCAACTTGTGAACTACGTCATCCTGAAAATGAGAATGAGTGTATATATTTTATTTCTGTTTCAAGTACGAGTAGATAAATCTTTTTTTTTCCATACCATGTGCGCACTCTGAGAAAAAAAAATCAATGAACACTTCTTTTCTGAACGTTTTCCCAAAATTAAATTGTTTTTTTAATTTCTCTGTAAAATTAGATGATTGTAGAATAATCAATAATGAAATCTCGACGAAGATCATCAAGTCCAAATATTAAGATGAGAAAGTTTAGGAATTTCGAATTTTTACGTAATCCACATGCGGCTAATTTCCAATTCGAGAATTTTTTTTTCCCCCTATAACAGCGCTGAGAACAAAAATATCAACTGAAAAAGTCAAAAATTAATATTCAAATTTTGCAATTTTTGGATATATTTAAAAGAGGGAGTGAAGGCAGTAAATTTTCACTTTTCTCAGATTAACAGAATTTTCCCGTTTCGGATAATCCTTTGCTAATCCACAGGAGAAGAAAATTTTTCGGTAGATTTTGAAGCTTACTGATATCGAAAATTGTATCTTTTCTTGTGTTTTTACAATAAAATAAATATATTTTTTCAAGAGAGGGGAAAAACGGAGAAAGGACTTAAAATCTTTATACTTGAATCAAAATAATTTTTTCCTAAGTAATTAAATTAAATAAAATAAATCAGGATTGGCACAAAAATTTAATTTTGTCTTTCCCTCACTTTTCCCTGATATTCAGTCAAAATTTTGACCTTTTCATTCTGATTTACTCTAAAAATGATTAGATACGCAAAAATAAAATAAAATAAAAAAATAAAATAGTAGATACTGAAAATCATTGAATTGAGGTAAATTTTTGAAAATAATAGAAATTTTGCCAAGAATTCTATTAAAATTTTAAGAAATAATTGAATTTCAGAGAAGAATTTTATTAAAATTTTAATTGTTTTAATAAATAAAACAATAAATGAGAGAATCGAATTGTAGAAACAGAAAAATAAATGTATAAAAATTAAAAATAAATGAACTGAAAGAAGAAAGAGCAATAAAACAAATAATAATTAAAAGTATTCGTCATTTTTGACCGGAGAACAACTTTTTTAAAATAAATTTCAACTCAATTTGGTCCAATTTCATGAAACTCATCAAGATCACTTTAAAAAAATGAAGTCAGCCTGTATGCTGATTATTTTCAGTCACTATTTTTTTATTACATGAACGTCTCCTTTTTTTTAAATAAAAAATTGTTACCAAAAATAATTATTTTCTCTATTATGAATTTCTTTTTTCTCAAAGGGGAAAAAAATCGAAATCTGATTAGAAGTACATGGTAGAGAGCTAGAGAAGTTTTTTTTACTTCGCGAATAGAATTTTCTTTCCCAATTGAGACTAAGGAATCTTTGAAAATCGATATATAGCTGTGAGTTCAAAGAGAATTTCGAAGCTTGAAGTTATCTAAAAAGACTTATCAATGAGTTTTAAAAGAGAAAGACTGAAGAACGAGTGAGCAAAGGACAGTAATGACTAAACGCGTTAGTATCGAATGCAGGGTCAAAAAAAAAAAGAAGGGATTCGCATCTACAAAAGCCAGGGGCGTATCCAAGATAGTATAGTATACAATTTTATAGAACGCATGCGTTCCTTCGGCGAGATTAAAGTGTTGACACAAAATCCAACTGTGTAATATCTTCAATTTTCCTTTTAACAAAAGGCGAAAAATATTCTCACAAAGAAAAAATAGGCGAAAGAATTGAAAAGAGAATTAAAGGAAATTAAAAATGCATTAAGAGAATTGAAAACGAATTCAAAGGATTGAGAAAGAACGAAAAGAATTGAAAAAGAATTAGAAGAATTAAAAATTAATTAAAAGAATTAAAAAGAATTAGCTGTCAATTTTCCACTGAATTTAAAAAGAATTCTAAATTTTCAAAAATGTGAATAAATTTTGAAAGTGGAGTATAATTTTCCGAATTGGAATTTTTCTGTCGTCATCAGAACTTGGGGAGAACAGGTGTTGATACAGAGCTCCTTCATGTGTATAATGTATGAATTGTAACCCACACTGGAGTTCTCAAATATATTCTAGGAAAATAAGAAAACTTGGGACTGAAGAGGCCGAGGGAATGAATCATCTTGTGGCAACCGTGAGAGTTGAAAACGTCTTCCTCCAAATGCTACCAGAGGCTAATGACACACACTCCAATAATAATATTTCGAAAAAATATCCTGTTCCTATAATGTCAAATTTCATTTCGTTTTTCTAATTATAACCTATTTGGTCAAAGTGTCAGTAAACTGTCATTTTGTTCAATTTTAACCTCACAATTTATATTCGTACAAATATTTAATATTACTTATAAATTATACATTGAATATATTATACATACCACCGAATATTTTAATTGTGTACCCTGTATTATAAATTATTTAATCAATATTAAAAATTAAAACAATTTCTCAATTTCCCAATAAACAAAATTTGAATATTCCCGCCAATGAACGTGACATGCGAATTCAAAATGGCGTCCGAAGTTTAATCACATTTAATTGTTAATTGACAATTGTATTTTTCTCCTGTAGTTAAAAAAAATAGTTTACAACTTTCCCAAGCACGCAAACAACACATGCTAATCTTTCTAATTATACTAAAAATTACAATTGCTAGGATAAAAAATAGATTTCTATCTATTATGCAAATTGCGATCCAAAATACACGCACACACAAAACGTGTATAAACAGAGAGTATATACGACAAAAAAACAAGAATATATTGCTTTCAAACAAAGAACAAAGAGAGAGAGAGAGAGAGATATTTCCTAATATAATTTCAATCTTTGTACTTACAATTTAATGAATAAAAAAGTGTTGATAATCACATTAGTTTGGATTAATTAAAGGATGAAAAAAATGTCATTAAACCCATGACCCTATGTAAATAATATACACCATGCACTTAGTTCCCTTTTGTTAGATTATTGTGAAACATGGTGATAATTGTAGAATAATTAGGTTAATTTTGATATAAAGGCGAAATAGTTATTTAAGATAATATTGAGATGAATTTAATGAAATTAACATTCATCGAGTGGAAATGTTTCTAGTCATTTTATCTAGAATTTGTTTGAGTCGTTTGAGTATAGAGCAAGTATATTGAGCACATTTTTAGAATACAATTGAAAATTACAAAATTACAAAGCAGTTGACGATTAAAGTGTAGAATAGTTTCTTACCTTTAGTTCAGGGATTGTCGAATTTTCACTGAGACATTGTGTTTCACTTATAAAAAAAAACACTGCTTTTTAACGTTGATAGAAAATAAAAATTGCCGACGTCCACAATAACTAGCGACTGGAAACATAGATCTAGAGGTCGCTGCAGTAGCTGTGTGACTTGTTTCCTTTCTCTCCTTCTCTCTCTTACTTTCCTTTTCTTAATGTTTTCTATCCTTTACACACACTGTGTTCAATTGAAAATTGAACGCCCCACCCATTGTAAATAGACAATTGAAACGATATTCGACGAATTTCTAAATACTTGATTCTTGATCTTTGATAACAAAACTTTGTTTTTCACTAATTAGGAACTGTTATTCAAGAAAAGGAAGTAACTTATTCAGTCAGGAAAAGCAGTATTGATGTTCTGGCGTTTAATCAACAATGCAAGCTTCCAAAATCTTCCGCTTCGTTGTTATGTGGAGCCACTTGCCAGACATGCATTTTGTTTCCTCTTTGCTTGGTCGAAAAGCGTCATTTTTTATTTTCAGTTTGTAAATATTATTTCACTGGAGCTAACTTTTTAATTAGGGAGTTAATATTTTTGAATAGAATAAAAATTTTGGTTAGACAAAAATAATTGCAACATCTAATCAAGCCTTTGGAGCTTCAGGAGTAAAGTATTTCTTATGTATTAACTTTAAATTATTATAAATAGAACAAGTTAGTACTAGTAAAATAAGCATAAACAAAAATAAACACAATTATATTATAATTGTTACTAAAATATAATTTAAAATAAACTATTTTGGAAAAATAAACTATTCAAATCGACCGCCATTATTCTTTAAAGCGCAATAAATGAAAGCTGGCTTTTGATTGGTTCAGCAATTCGGATCGTTATGAAATCAATTAGTTACTTTATCTTCTATATTTTCTCAAACTTAGTTAAATAAACCATTATATTATTGAAAAAACCTTTTAAAAATTATCCCACGTGTTTTATTAACATTTTATTTGTTAAAATTATCATAACTTGGAATTTAGAGACAATTATCGAATTTAGCCGGAAATGGCCGAAGCATATTCACGCTTTCTGATTGGCTGCAGGGAACATATAACAACACTGTAAATTGGTGGACAAATAAAAGGAGAAGGGGGAGGAAGAATGGAACTTCTGCTCCGAAGCTGTCACAAAGCATAACAAAACCTGCGCAAACTTTAACCTTCACAAGACAGAGAAAAGTGCTAGAGGAAGGACGTACTCGTCGACCGAGAGTGTGGTTTTTCCGACTGCGGTTTATAACGGGCCGTTGTGTTGTATAAAAAAAAAGAATACGGAAATTAACAATTGAGTTAAAAATACAAAAGTCAGGAAAGAAAGTTTTTCAATTTCATGATTAGAAAGTTGAAATATATCCAAAAAGGCGAGAAAAACCCGTTACTCGAGCCTGCGAGTACCGGAGAAAAATTGAATTTTGTGCGTCACGTATTTTTTTGGAAAATTCGCGTCATTCTATAACTCGAATTGTTACGTGTTTCGCAGTGTATAAAATAACAAACAAAAAAAATAAAAATAAAGGACAATTGTAGTCAAAGAAAATAGGTTGACGGTTCCTGTCGTTTGCGAGACAAAAACAAAAAACATCAAGTCGCGTCCACCATCTTTGTGCCTCCAGCTGTGCTTAAAAAAAGAGAGACGGAGTCTAGTCGCCAGGGCGTTTGTTCGGGGTGTTTTTAGTGTGAGAAAAAAGGTGACCAAAGGTCACCGAATGTGGTCAAATTCGCAAATTAACAGTAGAAGCAGGACTGTTGGAAAAATAGAAACATCTAGGCCGAGGTAGCATTGCGCTTGTGGAACAGGAGGTTCACGGAGTAACCCCACCAAGCTCTCCTCCGCGTTCCCCTTACTCTCTTGTGTCCTGAATAACTAGATTATTGCGCAGTTATTAAAATCGCTTTATAATCCGGTCAAGGAACGAGATTTCAAGAGAATCAACATTCAAAAAACGTGTCCCGACCATCAAAATTGGTAAGTTTTCGAAAAAATTTCACTTTGTTCCCTGTACAGACAAAGGAGAGGCTGATTTCTCGTTTACGAGTTCACAAACGGGCGAGTGCACTGTAGCGTCTTTGTTTGCCTATATATATGCTCTGTCAATAACCTTTGTTTATTTTTTTCAAAAAGTTATAACCATTCTTTTAAACATTAATTAAATAAAAAAAAAGAAATTAAAATACACATTTTAATCTGAAAATCGAAAAAATAATTTTCAATTCGTTTTTTTGAAAACAAAAAAAAATATCCATTGATTCTTTGAAGACGTACGTGGGAACTTTCTAATATTGTCCTTTCTAACATACTTTTTAGTTCCATATGTTTTTTTATTGCGTTACGAAAGATATTATTTCGTGTAAAGAAATATTTTTTTAGAGAAAACATTTTTTTTATACCGAGAATATGTAAAAATGTCGAGATATTTCGATTTGGGAAAATTTGTTCACTTTTCAGTTAAATTTATTTTTATAAAGAGAAAAAGAAGTAATTGTTTTCTAAATAAATATCTATTGTTTCGAATCGTTTAGTTTTTCCAGCTTTTTTTTGAAAAATTAAAAACAGAAAAAGAAATCAAAGTCGGCTTTCGAATTTCTAAATATTTACATAAACATCGGGTTATTGATTTCTCGAAAGTGTGCAATTTTAATATCACAATCTTCGCTTTCGTGACGTTTCACGAGTGAATAACCTTTAGAATCGATTTTCACCAGTGCGAATTTTTTTCTGTATGTAAATACAGGTATGGAAATAATAGTTTCTCCTAAAAATTAAAAATAGAATAAAGACTTACGTCCTTATTTTTAATTTTTAGGAGAAACTATTTGAGTGTGGTCACATTGTTTGTAAAATCAAGAAAATGTCAGGAAATCAAAATTTTTGTCAGTAAATTCATGGAAATGACAAGAAAAAATATTATTTATCATGGAAATTAAGAAAATTGAGACTTTTTCAACTTATTTTAAAAAATTGCGACTTTATCGACATTTTTTTCAAATATTGCAACAGAATACCAAATGTTTTTAGTGTAAAATGCAACTTATTTCGATTTTTATACAGAGAAAAATAACTATAGGTAAGCAAATCTTTCAAAAACTATTTTTTAATCATTTTTTAAAATGATTAAATTTTTCAAATATGTATATATCTATAATAAAAACCTTTTTGAATAATTGAAATTTTGCAAAGATTTAATTGAAAATAATAAATTTTTCTCATGTAATATGTTCCAATTTTTGAAAATCAACTTTTGAAGTATTTTAAATTGCAAATTTTGATAATAATTGAATTATCAAAAATTTTAATAAAATATCTTTAAAATGTAAATTTATAAATGAAAATTAGCTTTTAATTTTTTATTAAATTCAATATTTTCAATTACATATTTACAAAAGTTAAAATACATACAAAAAATAACATTAAAATTTTTAACAAAATTTTTTATTAAAATTCATCAAAAAATTAATTAGTTGTTTTAAATTATACAAAAATTCTTTAAAGAAATTCAATTATTTTTGTAAATAGTAAAATCTTCGCAAAAATTCAATTATATTTTCAAATAGACAAACTCAGGAAAGAATTCAATTTTTTTTAATTCGATATAAAAAATTTCAAATGAATTCAATTATTTTCTAAAATTTTAATAAATTCTTCGAAAAAATTCAATTATTTTCTGAACTTTTAATAAATCCTTCGAAACAATTCAATTTTTTCTATAAATAGTAAAATTCTTTGCAAAAATTCAATTATATTTTCAAAAAAAAAAAAAAATTCAGGAAAGAATTCAATTTTTTTCTTAATTAATTAAGAAAGAAATTAATTAATTCGTTATAAAATTCTACAAAAGAATTCAATTATTTTCTAAAATTTTAATAAATTCTTCGAAAAAATTTAATTATTTTCTGAACTTTTAATAAATTCTTCGAAACAATTCAATTATTTTTATAAATAGCAAAACTCTTTCCAAAAATCCAATTATTTTCAAAAAAATTCACGAAAAAATTCAATTGTTTTCTTAATTAGTTATACAAAATTTCAATTATTTTCTAAAATTTTTTTAAATTCATCAAAAAAATTCAATTATATTTGTAAATAGTAAAATCCTTTGCCAATATTCAATTATTTTTAATACATTTTTTATAATATTTAATGAATGAATTCAATTTTTTTTAACTTTTAATAAAATTTTTCAAAATAGTTCAATTATTTTATAAAATTTTTTATAAAATTCAATAATTAAATGCTTATAGTTTCAATTATTAACAAACACGATTATTTGAAGAACTTGAAAGAAATTGTTCATTAAATTCAATTATTTGAAAATTTTTTAAAGAAACTCCATTATTTTAAAAAAAAATTCAATTAAATTTTTCAAAAAATATTTAATTAGAATTATCAAAAATTTTATCATAATTGTTCTTGAGAGTTTAATTATTTTTCTAAATAGTAATAATTTAATAATTTAAGAAGAAAACATGGAAAGTTACAATTTATTAATATAAAAAATTGAGTTTTTGTATTTAAATAATTGAATTCCAGAAGAACTTTTGGAAAATTATTTAAAACAATTTAGATTTAGAGCTGAAGTTCAGTTGTAAATCGTAGAGAATAATTTAATTCAGTAAGGATTATAATTGTAATTTTCAGAAATTATTAAAATTCATAAATTTTACTCATTTTCCGTATAAACTTTCATAGTTTCCTATATAAAAAAAATTTTTTCAGGGAAATCGATAAACTGAATGATCCTAAAGTGCAGAACGTTCAATTGAACGAAATTTATTTATTTCTTCTTCAATTTAAATATTTATTAGGTACAATAATTTTTTGTCACTATAAAAAAAATAAATTATAAAGTTTCTAATTGTAAAATTGAAGTTTTTAATTTTTATTGCGAACAGTAATTTATAACAATTTTTCGTACATTTGAATATTCAAAACTTGTGGATCATTAAACTAAAACTTGTGACCAACCTGTAAATACAGATGGTTTCTCCTAAAAATTAAAAATAGAATAAGGACATAAGTCCTTATTCTATTTTTAATTTTTAGGAGAAACTATTTTTTCCACTTGAAAGAATTTTCTTTGAGAATTTTTTTTTTTGTGAATTTTTTTCCATCAAAATTTGGCAGATTTGTATTTTTGTTTCTAGACGGGAAGATCTGGTGTTTTATGGGAGAAGGAGCGCAATAACAAAAAAAGCAGTCAAAATTTTGTGAGCCATGACGAATTCAACGCCAAAGTTGAACGATAAAGTGGAGAGGCAGGGATCGCCTAGCACAGGAGGAAAGAGGAATAGCCAGAGATGTGGCTTAATAAAAACGACCTTCATATTTCCAAGTGGAGGAGGACGCTCAAAGGGTTCTCCAGGACGATTAAGTTGCAGTCCACCGTTTTCATCGCGAAATAATAATAACATTAACAACAACAACAATAATAATAATCTAATACGTACATCACCGACGAAAACTGAAAGTCCACGTGGCAGTCCAACGAATAGTTTTTATGCAGGAGCAAAATTCTCAGAACCACCATCGCCAGCGAGCCTTCCAAAACCGCCAAGTCACTGGATGAGTATAATGGACACATGCCACAATTCTGGACGTTCCTATAATATCAACGATCATCTCAAAATGCTTTTAAACGTTCAGGCTTGATATCCAACAACAAGAACAACAATAATGCATGGTTCGCGAGTGGCGTCTCCGTCTCCCCGGAGGAGTAGAGACAGGTATAGTAACCCAAAATGGACTTTGGACAAATCAATATCTAATTCAATTAATTAATGATTGAAAAAGCAAAATTTTTCAAAAATCAATTTTTAAAATGGATAAAAAAAAGAGGGTGCTAGCGCCATGTGTTCCGTGCGTACGTCGTGTTTAGGCTTTTAAAAAACCCTGTTCCTATAAAAAACAAAAAGTAGACTACAGACTTTGATACACGTTTCTGCTATAATTGCAAATGAGAAAAAAAAGCCCAGCGATAAAAAAACGTCTACCGTCAAACTACCTTTCGATGTGTAATAAACATTTAATGAATCTACGCGCCCTGTATAAAAAAACTGTATACATATGTATTTTAGATTATCATATAATAACGAAACACATTCACACACACACGCCGTGATAAAAAAAAAGTATATCGACTTTTCAAACCAGAAAAAAGTCCATATACTCAAAGAATTTCGAGAGATAAGCGCAAAGCTGCACAATGGGTTTTTTAAACGATGCGCTTCAATACCGTTTTTTAATTATCAAAAAAAAAAAAAAAAAAATCCCCCCCCACGGACGATCTTTTGAACACGTTTTTTTTTCTCTCCTGACTTTATCAATTTTTTCAAACATTGATTGAAAAAATTGCATTCGATTTCATGAAATTGATTCCTTTTTTTTGCACTAATCGAAGGGAGGATGAATTTATTTTCGTTTATCAAAGACTTTGTTTTTTTTTTAAGTTTTTTTCGTGGCTTTGTAAGTATCTCTCTCTCTCTCTCTTTTTCTCTCTAAAAAAAATTTAAACAAATCGGTGTATTTAAACAAAAAAACATCTTCGTGAGATTATTTTTTTTTATTGGCGTGTTTGATACGACGAACGAATCATTGATCGAATGAAAATGAATCTGACCATGTGAGTCTGAATATATAAATTTGTGGGTGATAATATTTCTAAGTAAAATTATTATGATTAAAAATTGAGCAAATCCATTTTCGTTGAAGCGAAATATTTTATTGAATCGCGAATATTTTTCCCAAGTTCCCACGAAGCGAACTGGTATCGCAAATTATAATTGCAATTATAGTTTTTTTTTTTTTTTTTTTGATTCGAAAAAATTGAAGGGAAAATTTGTGGAGATTTAATTATATTTTTAATATTGAGATATATATTTTTTCTTGTTATTATTTTTCTATCAGGACCATCGATGAAAATATTTTATTCTCTAGATTGAAATAATGATAAAACATAAATAAATTGAAAAATAGCAATTAAATTCCGCGGCTTTCGAAATGAAGATTGATTTGCTCAATAGGAAAGAAACAAGTTACTTGTTTCTTTGTTTCCAATTAATTATTATTATGATTCAAAAGCGATTTACATTTATGATATATGTATTATTTTTTTTTTTTTACTTAAAAGTGGTATAAATTTTCGTTTAGAATTTCTAATGCATGGGTTGCATTATATTTTGGTTTATTTATTTCTTTTTTATATCGCTTAGTGATCAAAAAAAAAAATTAATCAATGTTTATTTTTTTAATCTGTAAGTTTTTATTATTGAAAATATTATAATTATAATAATCTTGATATTGTATAATTATAACTACTTATAATTATAATCTTGATGTTTATGATTATCTCGATATTTATAATTATCTTGATGTTTATAATTATAATAAAAAATGAATTGCGCAAGTCGCTTTCATTTCTCTTTTTTTTTTTTCTTAAAAATTGTGATTGGCTTGAGTATATGTGAGTTTGAATTTAAGAAATGAATGTGAAGGGAAATTTATGATTTTGGGTATAATTGAGAAATATTTGGATTGTGTAAAAATTTGTCAAGATTATGAAATTTAGACTCTCGTTTAATAATTCAGTCATGCAGTAAAATCACGTTTAGTTTTTTTTTTTCTCGTTTTTAGTTTTTGAAAAGAGGAATTTTTAAAATGGTATCTATAGTATCTGAATATCACGGATCAAGACTTTGATTGATTTAATCCAAAGGACAAAATTTGCAGATTTTCATTTTTCAAGTATTTTTTTTTATTTTTTGCTAAATGACGACTTCTTCAAAATTACATATCAATTTGTGCGAAAAGAACTTTCATTTTTTTTAGGAAAATACGTAAAAATTTAAACGTTCCCGTAAATTTCAATTTTTCGAAACATTTTTATTTTTTAAAATTAATTTTTTTTTTGTTTTTAAAGAGACGTACCGAAAAAATAGACTTAAGATCTATTTCACTTTTTTTATATTTTTTCTTTTGACAAAATTTATTTCTTATTTATTTTAAAAAATTTTATTGAAAAAGAAAATTCAGCAATGAAAAAATTGATAATTGTACTTTGTTGAAGTCGAAAGAAATTGAAATCTCAAAAAAGAAAAAATTTGTATAATCAATTGACAACGTCACGTTTTTCAATAAATGAAAATGTTTTTGTATTGTACTTGAGACGTTCGTTTTAAGTAGAGAGTAAAAAAAAACCGGTGATTATTTTTTTATTCTTTAGCCAGTATTCAGATCTCTTGTTTAATTGCGTGTTATCTAATTTTATTTAAATGGTAATTGATTCGTAAATTCTGATGATTTTATTTGCAAATCAGTTACTGCGAGAGGGAATTTGTAATTATTTGCCAATTACAAAAAAAAGAAAGAAAAAAAATACTTTTTAATTAGTTTTAAATATAAAATTTCGAATAGAAATGTTAAATTATAGTTTTTAATCTAAATATTCGATGTGAGGAGATTTTAACAGATTTTTATCTCCGAGACGATTGAGAAAGAAAAAAAAATCCCAGTGACGTTGTTTTTTTGAAATACGGATTTTTTTCAGTAAAAATAAATTTATTTACAATAATTGTTACATATATCTGAAATTTTGTTGCTTACGATTTAAATTTACTAGTCCAATCTGTGTTAATTAAAAAAAATCGAAATTAAATTTTTACTAGAAAGAATTTTTTTTCAATTTTTGTCAATCTTTTTCAATATTTTCAAATTTTTCAGACAAAATCATTTTTTTTATATCGATATGATTGTATCAATATATAAAAAAAAATTGAAAATAATTCTTGTCCGGAAATTCTGTACATAAACAATTGGTCGAGATAATAATTTTTATCAGTATTAATTATTTTGTAAATAAATGACACGCGCTTTAACGTCAGCGACACGGGTATCTTAACATTTTTTTTATTTTCCTTTTCATTTGCATGAAATCTTTTTTTTAATTTCAAAACAAATCGAGTCGTTTGAAGAAATGACATTTTATTTTGAAGAAAGAAAAAATATTAATTAATACAATCAGGGAAAAAGGAGAAAAATCAATCGGTCGAACGATGAAAGAAAAAAAAAATATATCTTAGCTGTGATGATGACTCTATAGGTACTAATAAGTTTTAATTAATTACTGATCTATGTATATTATATACACAATGCGCATATATATATATTATATATATATATAAATAAATAAAATATGTACATGATTAATAATAGGAAAAAAAGTAATTAATAATTGTACAATAATAATAATTTTAAACAGTCGAATGTAAGGTCATAATATGATATTTCCAAGTATAGAAAAACGAGCAATATTATTGATTCGCGACACTAACAATGTTTATTGATACAAAAACAAATTGTAAATTAATAATTAACAATGAACGTTGAAACACAGAATATTTCCCTTTTTTTTATCGATATAAATATTCAAATCAAAATTCTGCTTTTCAGCGATCATTGTTCTTTCTAAAAGTGGGATTTTAGATTTACAAATGCGATGACGAATGGTTGGGTCATTCGGAAAAAATATAGCAAAAAATAAATAATTTTTCGGTAAAAAAATCGTACAGTTGAAAAAAATGAAATGTTTTAATGAAAGTAAAATTTTTTAATTTGCATTTTCGATGGCCCCCCCAATCGATCGGCACTTTTTAATGTGATATCGTAACGTACAAAAAAAAATCGTCGCAATTGATCCTTTTCTTTGCAAAAAAAAAAAGAAAGGAGCGAAAAAAAATGATTTTCTATTATTTCAATGAGAGAAAAAGAAACTTTTTCGATCAGAAAAAAAGAAAATTATTTTTTTTGGCGCGAAAAACTGAACATGGTTTTGTAAAAAAAAAGAAAAGTCGCGCATTATCCTAAAATGCCAATCGGGGAATAGCGTTTTTTATTCTAAAATACAAAAAAATAAAACACGACCAAACCAGAATTTGGAACAAGGTCGTTATCATCTCTTCATCGCAGAGTTCATCTTCTCCCTTCGTTTTCTTTTTTCTATTTCTATAAAAATACAAAAATATGTACATAAATATTTCACACTGAATGCAATTCTCTCAATTTTATTATAAGTTTTAAATGAAAAAAAGCAGGAAAATCAATTTTCAAATTGAAATCAATTTCAATTTTTTTTCAAAAAAAAAAAAAACAAGTTTATTTTTAATCGAGGACCAAAAGAAACGAAATTTCCTTCTTTTCGGCAAAATTGATTTTTATTCCGTTCTTTTCGAATTTGAAAATATTTTTTTAATTTTAGTCTTATTTTTAGATTAAGGATTATTGAAGCACATCGGAAATAAGGCCAATAATGCTCGTTCCCTCTTTTGCATAGAGAGAAAGTTAATTTTTTTTTTATGTAAATGAAAATAACAATTTTTTTTATTCGAATTAAAGGAAAATTTTCACTTTGTGCAAAATGAGGCGATCGAATAAATCTGTCCAGTTGCAAATTTGCAGCTTTTTTCTCTCATTTTTCTCATTTTTCGTATAAAAATAAAATAGTATAAGAATAATCCAGGACACAAAATACACAAACAATATGTCATACTCATACGAGCCAGCATACAAATAATTAATGAAAAAACAAAAGCGCGATACCACATCCGTTATAAAATGATTAAGCCTTAAATTTAGAATCGAGTTTACAGCTGGGGAAAAAAAGGGAGTAAACGTAAAAAAACAAAAAACAAAAAAAAAAACAAAAAATACTTCTTCTTTCCAAAGAGGAAGAGAAAAAAATGTCAATATTAATTTAATCGATTCGTTAATTTCCAAATATTAAACCCCGATTAGAATTAATATTGACATTTTAATGTAAGTCAATAAGAATTTTTTAGATATTATCTCTAACTGTGAGAAAAAAAATCTAGCTTTATCATTTTTGTGATTCGTTATAATTCTATAAATGTCGATATTACTGTATTTTATAATAGAGAATATCATTTCGGAATTAATTTGAATGAGACGCAAAATATTGTACGACCGATTTTATTGAGTCTATCGGAAAAAAATTCCTCTAAATGAAAAATTAAAGAAAAAAAGACTTTGAACAATAAAATCGGTGGTTCATTGTGTTCGATTTAAATCTCCCTTTTTTTTCTTTTCTTTTTTTATTATTAAAAAAAAATATATATATATTCTTAATTCATTTAGTATAACGCTCTGTGAGTTCACGCGACCTTTTTAAAAGTTTGCAGATTTTTTATTGAAAAGGAAAAAAATAAAATCGCGTGAGTTCCCAAAGACGTGACTGATTTCAACACATATATATATATAAATATAAATATATATAAATATATATTTATATAAATATATATTTATATTTCTGAAAAAAAGAATTGGCTCTCCTATCTTAACATCATTTTTCGGGGTTTCTTCTTTTTTTTCGGAATGAAAAATAAGAAAAACATTACTTTTTATATATTATAAGAGTTGCGGACTAGTTGCGTTCTCGTCCGTCGTAAATTCTGCTGCGCGTTCAGCAAAAAATCGTACTGATTATTTTAAGAGAAATAAAAAAAAAAATCGAGATTCGATTATGTACCTTGATATATCAAAAGATATGTTTATCACAACAAAAGCAAACAAAAAAAAAAACTGAAAATAAAAATGTGTTAAAATAGTACGATGATTGTGAAAGTATTGTGTATGTGAGCGTGAAACAAACCGACAGAGTGCTTCCTTGTTCAAAGAAAAAGGGCATATTTTCTTTATTTTCTCCAACAAATTATGTAAAAAAAAGCCAATTTATTTGAAAATGTGCTCTTTTTGTATTTTTTTTTTGTATCCATTATAATGTTTGACGCTCTCAATAAAATGGACAAGTGGTGAAAAAAAAGAAATGGAAAATTTAAAAAAAAAAAATACTTCGGTCCGAAAATAGAAAATTGGAACGTCAAACATTCAAGCTATAATTGCCTTTTCTTCTCTGTATTAAGTTACACGTATTATGTATACACTTTTAAGATATGTAATTCACTTTTTTTTCTCTTTTTTTCGTTTTTTATATCTTGCTCTTAAAGCAAAAATTATAATTGATTAACGAAATGTTTATTGACAAAATGTTAATCCCAGATATTGTAAGTTGTACGAGGCATTTCCTATAGTTTGTTTCTTTTTTTGCGATTTTAAAGTTATATATTTGTTACCAGCGACAATGGTAGTTGTTTATATTTTTAAAAAAAACTAAGAAGACGAATACATAAACAATTTAATTCTTCGAGAGAAAAAACAAGAATAATTACATTTTTTTCTAAAAAAAAAAAGAAACAGAAAATAATTTTTATTTCATTTTATTTGAAGAATTAATTTTTATTAATTAATTAATTATAATTAAGTACAATAAGTACATTAATTAATTATAATTAAGTACAATAAAGTACATTAATTAATTATAATGAATTACAATAAGTTCGTTAATTAATAATAATTCTTAAAATAATTGAGAAAAAAGATTGCAAATTAAAAAATTATTTTCCAAACGAAATTATAATTGAAAAAATTATTTTCCGAGCGAAATTATAATTGAAAAAATTATTTTTCAAGCGAAATTATAATTGAAAAATTATTTTCCAAACGAAAATTACCAAATAAAATTATAGAATTGAAAAAAAAATTTTACAAACGAAATTATAATTGAAAATAATTTTTTTCGAAACGAAAATTATGATTGAAAAAAAATTCCAAATAAAATAACAGAATTGAAAAAATTATTTTCCAAGCGGAAATTAATATTGTAAAAAAAAATTGAAACGAAATTAGAATTGAAAAAATTATTTTCAAAACGAAAATTACAATTGAAAAAAATCTAACGAAATTATATAATTTAGAAAATTATTTTCCAAACAAAAATTACTATTGAAAAAAAATTCCAATAGAAATTATAATTGAAAAACTTTTTTTCTAAACGTAATTATAATTGAAAAAATTATTTTCCAAACGTAAATAACAATTGATAAAAAAATTCCAAAGAATTGAGAAAAATTAAAAAAAAAATGATAGAATTGAAAAAATTATTCTCCAAACGAAAATTACAATTGAAAACAAAAATTCCAAATAAAATGATAGAATTGGAAAAAATTATTTTCCGAAAAAAGAATTATAATTGAAAAAAATTCTATTGAAAATTAATTTGAAAATCGATTTCGAAAAAATTGGTAAAAAAACATAAAATTCTAAACAATTCTAAAAATAAATAAATTCTTTACAAAAAATATATTCTCTCTGTTGAAAAAATTAAAATTACTAATTTTTACTTACAAAGCGATTGGAAAATTTTTCTTTCATAAAAATAGAAACAAAAAATTTATTCTAACTTTGAATTTAAAAAAAAAATTATATTCATTCTGTTAGAAAAAATTTACATCGACAATTTTGGAAAATTTTTTTTTCTTTCAAAAATAAGAACAAAAATATATTCTAACATTTTATTTGAAAAAAAATTATATTCTTTCTGTTAAAACAATTAAATTTTTATTTTCCGATAAAACAGAAGAATGAAAAATAATTTTTTCTCATAAGGAAAATAATTTTTTCCCATATTAGAAAAAAAATGCAATTTTCTCTTTTTTTTTCCTCCGAAAAGAAGTGTGATAAACAAAAATTTGATTCCTTCGAGGATGAAAGATTTAAAAAAAAGAAAGCAGCAGAAATTTGATTTTTTGATTTAAAAATGAAAGAAAAAAACAAAACAAAAAAGACGAGATATGATGAATTTTTCGGATAATGAGGCAATTCCTCGAGTATGTAAATTTTTTTGAATGAGAGAAGCAAATTATAATATTGTGTAAATGTATGCATGTTTTGTGTGTTTGTCAATGCGTATGTGAAAATTGAAAGAAAAATAGAATTTAGCCTTATGTTTTAAGCTACGATCACTGTGATTTCCGTTTAATCTCTTAAATGGTCAAGCGGACGCAATGCAATGAATCGAATAAGACTTTAAAAAAGAAAAAATAATGCACGAATAAAAGAGCGATTGTTAAAACGAAGCGACATTTTTTTTTCCTTTTTTTTCCAACAATTGTAAGTGTGCGTTCATGACGCAAAAATAATAAATGCGTCCAAGAGACTATTAAAAAAAAAAGAGCACGAACTTTGCATACAAATATTTAATGTAGCCGGGGTGATATAGATATTTTGTAAATGATTAAAAAAAAAGTTATATCAGAAGTTAAGATGAACAGGAAACAATTAACAAGTGCTAATGAAAGTTAGGGGTAAAAAAAAGTAAAATAGAAGTGAAAAAAATAGTGAAAGAAGAGATGAAACAAAAAATAATAGTGGGAGGGAAGTGATTGTAAAGTGAAAGAAGAAAAGAAGATGCAGAAGAAATGGAAAAAGAAGAAGAAGAAGAAGAAGATGGAAGTGGAGGATTTGGCGAACGTGAAGGAAAGGCTCGCAAAGCGTAAGAACGAGAGGACATCTGCTCCCTTTGTGCCAGTAAATCGCATCCGATTGTTTTTTTTCGGAAAACAAGTTGTACTCGTCGTGTTTGCGTAGGGCGTGCCTGACCAATTCCAAAACATCTTCAGAAAAAAAATCAAATTCAATAATAAAATCCCGTTTGAAAATTCTCCAAAGATCAATTTTTTTTCGTAACAATTGAAAGACCCGAGAGATCGGGGAATGGACACACAACGGTTAGGAAAGAAGGGAGAAGGTGCTATTGATCCTCGAGTCTGCAATTGAAAAGAAAAAGTTCCATCATCTTCCACGAACCAAAAGGTGAAAAAGTCAAATGGAAAGTTTCCCTTCCCCCCTCTCAGAGAAAGGATCAAAGAAACGAGAATTCTGAAAGGAAAGAAAGAAAAACCGAATCACAAAAGCTGGAAACTTAAAATGAAAAAGAAGAAGAAGAAATGAGAGAAGAGTACCGAAAGTTTCATCGGAGAGTTTATCAAAGAATTGGGAGTTTTTTTTTCCCCCTCATCAAATGAATATTTGCTTCTCATTCCAAGCAGATTCACACTCCCTCTATCCCTCTCTCTGATGAATTAATTGCAATTTACAAAAAAAAAAATGTGTCTTTTCATACACATACAGTCGCTCATAATAACAATTGAAAAAAAGCAGTTAGAATGTTAATAATAAAGGAGAACTTTGAAAATAATAATTATAAATAATAAATGAAGGCCTGGAATTATTTGTCCAATGCAGCAAACATATATAAAAAAAGCTCATTGGCAACCTTCTCGATTTAACGAGGAGGATAATTTATTATCAGTCCTTCTGTCACAAAGTGGAGATGCAATGATCGAATTCGAGACTGAAGGCGAGAAAAAGAAAAAAAAAGAATGAATATTTGAATGCATGAAAATGAAAGTTTCTATATGGAAAAAACAAAATTATGTGAAGGGAAAAAATATGCGTAAAAAATCCTTTTTGCGATAATTTGCAAAGAGGGACCAAAAAAAAAAAAAAAATATATATATATATATATATATGATGAAAAGAACAACTCAAAAAACCACGAGAGAGAATGAATGCTCGAGGGATATTTGGAGTCTACTTTCTCGAAGATGAAAAAAGAAAGCTTTAAATTGTTCGAGTTTTTTGAAATGCTGTTTAGATAATTCGGTATTTTTACCTGAAAATTTTACATCATTAGATTCAAGATCACTTTGATTTTCAAAATTTACATGCACAATTGAAAATTAATCAAAACGAAGAGAATGGCATTTCGAATTTTTGAGAAAGATGGAACGAGGTGGAAGATTGAAGAGAAGTTCGAGGATGTACAGAAAGAAGAAGTGAAACAAGGAGGAGGAGAAGTAACAGAAGAAGAAGTAGGAGAAGGAGAAAAAGAAGAAGAAGAAGTGAAAGGAGAAGAAGAAGTAAACAGGAGAGTAAAAAAGGACCAAGTTTAAAACTTGTTTCCGAAAAAGTATTCACCGATGGAAAATTTATTGATCTCATTCATTTTTTTTTTCCACATCAGCATCAATTTTATTGACAATTTCATAAGAGAGTCTTTATCATTCCACAAAATCGATCAAAATTCACTTTTGATTGATTTGCAATCAACGTGAAATGTTTTCAACATTGAAGCCAAAAAAAAAAATAATAGCCAAGACAAATCTCTAAAAGCAGAAAATTTTCAAAAACCAATTTTTTAAGAAGAAGAATAAGAAGAAAGAAGATGACGAACAACAAGAAATTTACAACAAACAAACCAATTTCTCAATATACTGTGATCTATCCTTTTCCTTTTTAATTTCCCGTTAATAGTCTAAAAATCCAAAAATCATTCCTTTCCTGCAAAACAAAAAATTTTCAAATCCTTTTTTTTTTAATTTTTATTCACAAATCCGTGTACCTAATTTACATAAATCCCGTCCACATCCAAAATACCAATTTTTTTTCCTTTTTTTTTAGGGCCCTTTTCAGGGCCCGCAAATGTTTTCCAATGAAGGAATATGCTTTTCTGGTTCAAACATGCAAACAAAAAATCTGTCCTTTTAAGGACAAAAAAAACGTATAATTGGTTCTCATTTTCTAATGAGAAGGTTATTTCTGTCTTTTTTTGTAAATGTTAATCTGATTTTATTGTGAACGATTAGTTCGGAATAAAATTATTGTTAATGTTTTATGAAAAAAAAGAAGAAAAAAATGGTTCAAACGTAATGTCTTTTATAAAGACGAGAAAAAAAATAACGTAAGAAGGTTCTCTCTAAATTTGAAAAAAGTGGAAATTTGTCCACTAATTGAATTTAGTAAAAATTCTCACTAATTTTTAGTAAAAAGTAAAATTTTTACCAAAAATTCTCATAAATTTTTAGTAAGATTTACTAATTTAATTTAGTAAAAATTCTCAATAATTTTTAGTAAAAAAAATAATTTTTAGTAAAAAACAATATTTGTCAAAAATTATCAATAATTTTCTGTAAGTAAAATTTTTTACTACAAATTTTGACAAATTTTCAGTAACGCAAATTTTTTAATAAAAATTCTCGATAATTTTCAGTGATAAAAAATAAATAATTTTGTAGTAAAAAATAAATTTTACCAATAAATTTGAGTACAAAAAATTATTTTAGATTAATAAATAAAAATTCAGAAGAATTTGTAGTAAAAACAGTAATTTTTAGTTATAAAACAAATTTTACCAAAAAATTCTCAATAAATTTTAGTAAAAAAAATTTTTTTATATTAATAGATAGAAATTCTCAATAATTTGTAGTAAAAAAATATATTTTTTATATTAATAAATAAAAATTCTCAATAAGTTTTAGTAAAAAAAAATATTTTATCATAAATTCTCACTAATTTTTAGTTAGAAAAACAAATTTTACCAAAAATTTTCATTAATTTTTAGTTAAAAATCAATTTTCAAACTTGATATTTACTAAAAATTCTCTCTATTATTTAGTACAAAAAAAATGTTTTACCGGAAATTCTCATTAATATTTAGTAAAAAAAAAAGGTTTGAAAAAAATTCTCAATAATTTTTACTTAAAAGAAATTTTTCACACGTTTATAGTGGTTCTAATTTTTCCTTACTAAATTTTTAGTTGGTTTTTCAAAACGTTAAAGAAGTTGACAATGTTTATAATTAACGATTTAAACAAAAAATGTTATTTTCTTGTGGCAGGAAAAATATTTCTTTTTCTCTCAATCGTTGATTAGAAACCTTGTGAACTTCACCGACGTTTCTTTAAATTACATTTTAAATTTCAATTAAATTGAAAATTACTCGCAAATTACTAATTTAAATAAAACCATAATTTTTTCAGTTAAAATTTCATCAGAAATGGGAAAAAATCTCGGTATTTATTTTTTCATAATGTTTAAAAATTTTGTCAAACTCAATTTTTATAATTTTATGATAAAATATTACAAGTGATTTAATAATTTAATAATTTTTTAATAAAAAATACTCTAATAATCGTTTCTTTCTAGGATTTTTATTTTTTTTCTTCACAGCTAATTTTCCACGAATTTTCTTTTCTCTATAGTTTATTTTGTTTCTTATTTTTTCAATTTTTTTTTGAGGAATTATTTTGAAATAATGGAAATAAATTTAAATTGGAAAAACGAAAGAATTCGTCCTTGATCTTTCTTGTGGGAGAAGAAAAGAGAAGAGATATATTCATCGTCATAGTTTGCTGTTTTTAAGACAGCAATTATTCTGAGGGTCATTGACATCAATTCAGTATAACGCAGAAGTTGAATATAAATGACGAAATGGAAAAACATCTTCAAGGAATCGACTGTTTAGCAACGCAAAGTGGCGACTATTTTTAAAAATGTAAGTGGAAATTTTTAAAAAAAGATTTTTATTGTCATTCAAATGGGTTATTTATTATCGATCCTTTTAGAATTCAGCTGCGTCGTTTTTTGTGATTTTAATTTGGAATTTTTATATTTTAATTAAGAATCTTATATTTCATTTACGAATTTTGTATTTTGTATTTTTGACAAAATTAATTAATATTTGTAAACTATTTATTCTTATCTTTTTATTGTTTGGAAAAAAATTCCTTTTGTTTCAATTGTGCGTATTTAATGACACTATTCAACTCGATTAGATAATTACTTAAGTTCTTTTATTATGTATTATGTACGATTAATGAAATAACATGAATTCTAGAAAATTCGATAAATTTAAATGACTCAAAACATTCTTTAACACAGCCAAGAAATTACGCCAGTGGAAATTTTGAATGCGTCGTATTTACAAGTCATATAACGTAAAGCAAATGATTCATCGATGATAATTAATATTTCGTTTCTAAATTTGACATATTTTTTGAAAAACAGAATCTAATTTCTGAATTAAAATACTTTTTTCAATATTAATTTTTAAATCAAAATTCAGTTAAAATTAAATTGTAATTTAATTTTATTTAATTTATTTAAATTTGAATTTTGAAATTTGAATTTCAATTACAACTTCAAATTTTTTAAAAATTAATTTTTTTGAATTAAAATTTTCTATTTTCTTGGTAAAATTGTTTTTTATTGATCAGGATTTAATTTTTCATTGTGTCAGCATTTTTTTAATATAAAAAGTTTAGTTTGAAGTTGAAAAACAGACAAATAGTGTAATACAATTTATTATTCTTTACTGAGTGAAATACGTATCATTATCTTCGTAAACGTAGATTATTTGAAGAAGGAAAACATTTATAATTTCTGCGTCGTAAAATTTCATCAAGGCCTTTTTAAAAATAAGCTTCTTCAAAAATTGTTTACATTTTTTTTAAATTATACAATTCTTTATAGAAGCACTACAAATATCTCTAGGCAATAATTGTAATGATTATTAAAAAAGTTTTTAAAAATAGTTTGAAATATATTTTAATGTACATTCATTATAAATATATTTATATGAAACTTCTTTACAATATAATTTCCTTTTTTCCATCAAATTTTAGAACTTTTTACTTTTATTTTACATATTATTTTGTTGAATTTTTTTTAAATGAGTAAAAATTAGTATTTTAAAAAAAAAATAAACGAAAATTAATTTTTTTAGGAGAATAAATATTTTTTTAATAAATACGTAGAAATTATTTGTTAAGAAATAAGTAGAATTAATTTTTTATAAAAATTAGTAAACATTATTTTTTATAAACATTAGTGAACATTATTTTTTATAAAAATTAGTAAACATTATTTTTTTAAATAAGTAAAAATATTCATTTAAATAATAATTTAAATAAGAAGTTTAAGTATTTTAAAAAAAATTTCTCCTGATGCTTGTGCGGAGAAAAGTGTAATGCATACTGTGTTGTGCTTTTTGATAAAATATAAAGTTGCAATCTTTCTTCATTTGGCTTCAGTGCTGAGACATTTGAGCCAAGTCTCGACCAGAGTTCGCAGAAAAGATTTGTCTCATTCCTTTTTCATTTCAAACATCTATTTCGAGTCTTGCCATTAGAATCTTTCCTTCCTGACTGTAAAAGCGAATATTCCTTAAATTATTTCTCCAAATAATTCGAGATAAAATATAAACTTTCGACTTCAAATTTTAAACGAATTCTGAATTTAATTCACAAGAATTTCTATCTCGAATATTAAATTCCTAATTCAAAGTAATACGGAAAAGGTAAAATTTTTTTATTTTATACCTTTATGAGTAGTATCTTGGAATTTTCCAGATTTCGAGGCAAGCACGAGTGTCTCCCACTGCCACCATGTCCCTAAAATAATTAACAGATTTAATAGAAGAAATTGTAAACGAATTTATAAAAAGAAAATTTTAGTTAAAATTTCAATATTGAACTTTTTATTTCCTTCATTTTTGACGAATATACCTTTTTGAATTAAAGCTAAGACTGCTCGTATTTTCCCTGGTATCAGATTGTAGGATTACATTAGGTAAAGCACTGCCGGTATTAACATTATAAAATCCAACAATAGAAGTTGCTCCATAAGCGGCAAAAATATCTTTGTTTCCAATACACCATGAAAGTCCAATAGTTGTACTCTCGAGATTTATAATCTTCTGATTTGCAGTCTGCAAATAAAAAAATATCAATCAGTAAAAAAGTTTTCTTAAAATCCAAATTTTCAATTATTTAATTATGAAAAATAAAAATTTTCTATATGCGAAGAAATTCTTTTGGAAAACGTTAATGTTAAATGTTAAAAAAATTTTCTATTTACTTGATCAAAATCGTAAATTCTGATTTCTTTGTCAGTGCCACTTGTTACGAAGAGATTTTTCGTTGGCGAACATTTGATACTTGTTACACTTCCTTCATGTCTATTGTATTCATCAATAACCGGATCTAAAATCGACTCGTCTCCTTTAAAAATAGAAAGTTGTGTATTAATTAATTATTATTGTTTATATTTTCAAAAATTTTAATATAATTCTTCGGAAGAATTCAATTATTTTCCATAAATAATTGAATCCTTTTCAGAAATTCAATTATTTTAAAAAATTGAAAAATATCCTTGTCAAGAATTCAATTTTTTTCATAAATAATTGAATTCTTTACAGAATTTCAATTATTTTCATAACTTTGAAACAAATTATTTTCAAAATTTTTAATTAAAATTATTCAAAAAACTACATTATATTAAAAGAAACACAAAGAAATTCTTCAAAAGAATTTAATTATTTACAAAAACTCTAATAAAATTATTTAAAAAAGTTTAATTATTTATCAATAATTTTAATAAAGTTTTGATAGTAAAATTATTAAATACAAAGAACTTAATTATTTTCTATATTTTAATAAAATTCCTCGAATTAATTAAATTATTTTAGAAAATTGTAATAAAATTCTGAGAAGAATTTAATTATTTTCTAAAAATTTTAATAAAATTTACTATAAGTGTTTAATTTTAATTATTAAGAAACACGATTATTTTAGACTTGGAAGTAATTGTTCATAAAATTCAATTACTTTAAAATTTTTCAATTCAAATTATTAAAGAAACTCCATTATATTTAAAAAAATAATTCAAAGAAATTCTGCGAAGGAATTCAATTATTCTCAAATATGTTGGCAAAATTCTTTGCAAGAATTCAATGTTTTTTAATACCTACATTAATTTTAAAATTGAAAATATTTGAAAAGAAAAATTATTAAACAAGTTAGGAAACAAAAAAGCAGACAAAAACAATTAAATTCAAACTGCGAACAGATTAACGGAATTGAACGATTATTAATATAAATAAAATTTTTTTGATTATTCAATTTTCTATATTTGAAAATTGTCGAAATAAAAAGTTTTCTATATTTGCCATTTTTTCAAATAAATTTTCCTGAATAAAAAAATTTCTATTTGTAATTTTTTCAAATGGAAAAAAATGTGTATTCCCTTCTCAACGAAAATGGTGTATAAAAATTAAATAATAATTTACCTTCCACAGAAACGGCTTGATCGACGCTGCATTTATAAACACCGCCGCATAATGTCCCGACAATGAATATGGACGGATCCTTCGATGAGAAATCAAAACTTGTGATTGTTAATCCAGCTTCAATTGCACGTTCTCGAGTTCCACCGGAACTACGAGGTCTTGCACTCTCAGATGGATTGTGCTCCTTGGCCACCTTGAATCTACAAGAGAAAATGAGAATTTTCAGCGCTAAAATTACTTAAATCATATGGAAATATTTTTTATGAATATAAAGAATTATTATATTTATAATTATGCAAAAAGAAGAAGAAATAGGATTACCGTTTAAACAAAATAACTGTCGTAAAATTAGCCAGAAGCTTGTGAAGTAAAATATATCCTTCGGCACTCGCCGATACCAATAGAGAAGAATCGGTTACAAGTTTTGTATGCCACTGAAGCTGTGATACAAAATCGCCATGAGAGAAGACTTGAACAGGAGTCACCGACGTATCATCTCGAAGATTCCACACCAAAACATCACCTGAAATATTTATTTAATTTTACGACGTGATTGATTTGTTTTTAGAAAAAAATTTCTTTTTATAGAAACTTTCTTTCTTAGAAATTTTCTTTTTATAAACGATTATTTACACTAGGGAAGTTTTTATTTCTATAAACAAATATTTACAGTAAGGAAATTTTATTTATTTGTAAACAAATATTCGCAGTAAGAAAATTTAATTTATGTAAAAAAATATCCACACTAAGAAAATTGTATTTATATAAATTTATTACATTTATTCATTTCAACTTTGTGTATTTAAAACTTGAATTTCTACATATCTTTTTTTTAATTTATCAAATTCGTTATTTATTAAAATTTGTTAAATTATTAAATTATTAATGTTTTTACTGCTCATAAATTGTAAATATTTGTAATAATTGTTACAAGGTGTCTAATATAATTTCTGTAAATTAAAATTATAAATTCTGAAACGAAAAATATAACTAGAACACATTTCTTAAATTGTTTAAAATTAACAGTATTATGTTAGAATATTTCTGTAATAGTCTGTAGAAAATCAATTAAGTAAACCAAAAAAACAATTTTTAGACGAAATATTACTTCTTAATGACTTAATATTATTAATTAGGAGTTAATTGATTTTAACTGTTCTTCACTTAACGGTAAAATGGAAATTTATTTTATTTAAACGATACTAGTAGACACCTTGCTGTTAATAAATTGTAAAGAAAAAATAAAATACATTTTTTAATAGAAAATCTGTTTTTTTATTGTTGTAAGAATTAATAATAAACTGTTTTTTAAGAAATGTAATTTTTCGAAATTTATAATTCTTCAAAAATATGATTACCTATATTTCAAAACAATTTTTAAAAGTAATAAAATTAAATTTTTCCAAATATAAAATTTATTTCAAAGAAAAACTTGCTTTTTTGTTTCCTAACTTTATAAATAATTTTTATTTTTAAATGTTTTCAGTATTAAAATTAATGTACTGAAAAACACAGAATTCTTGCAAAGTATTTACCAAAAAATTTGAAAATAATTGAATTCATTTCAAGAATTTTATCAACATTTTCTTCAATAATTGAATTCTTTCGAAAAAATGTAATTAAAATTGTATTGAAAATAATTTCATTTTTGGCAAGAATTTTATTAAAACTCTTTAAAATAATTTAATTGTTTTGAAAAATTTATTTCAATTTTTTTGAAAATAATCGAGTATTTTAAATTATTTTTACTGAAAATTTTGAAAGTAATTGAATTTTTATTAAAACTCTTGAAAATAATAGAATTTAAATAATATTATAAAAATAATTGTATTCTTTTGAGAAATTTTATTAAAATTGTATTAAAAATAATTGAATTCCTCCGAAACATTTTATTATTTATGAAAATAATTGAATCCCAGTAAAAAATGTTGTTATTTATGGAAATAATTGAAATCTTACGGAGGATTTTATATTCCATAAAAATAATTGAATTATTTCGAAGAATTTTATTTGAATTTTTGCAAATAATTGAATTTTTCGACTCATTGCAGAATTTCAATTATTTTTAATATACAATTATAATCAAATTCTTCAAAAAATGTAATTATTCTTAAAAATTTTATTAAAATTCGACGAAAGAATTAAATTATTTAAAAATTCGATGATAACATTATTTATGAGATTTGAATTTTATGAAATATTCAATTATTCAATAAATTATTTTTTTGCATTACAAATTATTGCAGAGATTAAATTATTTTCATTAATAATAAAATTTTCTTGAGGAATTCAATTATTTTCACAAATAATAAAACTTTTCGCAGAATTTAAATTATTTTTAACACAATTTAAAACAAATTTCTTGAAAAATGTAATTATTTTTAAAAATTTTGTTAAAATTCGTCGAGAGAATTCGCTTATTTAAAAATTTATTTGATAAAATTCTTTACGATCATTCAATTAATAAATTATTTATTTTTGTATTTAAATAATTGAATTCTAGTTGAATTTTCTAATATAAATTGATTTAAAAATCAATTTCAGTTAAAATTGTAGATAATAATTGAATATTAAAAGCAATTAGGCGTGAATTTTTAGAAATACTAAGATTTTTGAAATTAATTTTTTTGGAAAAATTGTAATTGAATTTTTTTTAATATTATTTGAAGTTTTTATTTTCTAATGTATATTTAATTGAAGAAATTTACGAATAATTGAAATTCGTAAAATTGAATAATGTAAACAAATGGATTTGAAAATTGTCAAAGAACTTTTTCGAAAATTATTTGTTTTAAAGAAGAATTTTAGTTAAAAATACTTAAAAATAATAATTTAATTGAAATGATGAAAATAATTTTAAAGAAGTTACAGTAACAATAATTTTATCAATTTGCCATTTTTAATTATTATAAAGCATGAAGAAATCGAAGACTCGGAGTTATCGATTTCTTCATGTTTTATAGTTAATGATAAAATTTAATTTATAGTTTTAAGTAAAATGTTTTCTTTTTTGACTCGGACTGGTTAAATTTTTGTCAGAAATTGGTCCGTAATTTTTCATATTTAGTCCGTATTTTTAAATACTTTCACTGGTTCGAGCCATGTAATAATAATTAGAAATAAATAGAAAAATTACCGTTGAATAAACCAGCTGCCAGTATGGAAGGTTCGTGTGGATGATAGAGAATTGACGTTATACAGGAATTAACTTCCAAAACTTTATTAGGAGCTGCTGGAAATTTATTATCACGTGTAAAGTTGTAAATTTTTATTTTCGACAGATGATTACACCAATTCTCGTGAAATGTAACACTGTAACCTAATGCCAGTGATCCACCACCAGGACTCCATGTTAATCCACTTATTTTCGTCTGTTGAAAAAAATTTGAGATTAAAAAAAATAGAAAACTAAGATTAATCAAGTATTAATTGTTATAAAATACTTTCTTTAAAATCAGGATTATCCCAGGTTTTCATTTTTGTCAGACAATTCACTGCTGAGAATGATTCACTGGTAGTTTCTGGATTATAATCTTCGAAAGCATTACTACCATAGGTCTCATCCAGAGCTTCCAAAATTCCTGGTGTAACTCGTTTTAAAAATGCTGCTAATCTTTCGTAATTGAATTCAGGAGTTTTTTTACTTTCCGTCTGAGTTTGAGTCTAAAAAAAAGTAAAAACAGTTAGTATTTGTTTTTTAATAACAGAAAAATAAATAATTTTTTCCATGTAAATTATTATTATTACCTCGACACTTTTTTTTTCTTCACTTTGAGAAGAACCATCTTCGTAAACAACAATGTCAGTTTGTATATTTGATGATTTTTGCGATCTAAAATATCTCTTGTAATTAATTTTCACACTAATTGTAAATTTGTCATGTTATTTAAATAATTTATTTAATATTCGCAGTTTTTGTTTTGAATGTTTTGAAAACAAACATAACCTCAAAAGAAAAAAAAATTACAAACTTACTTCTCTGTTGAAGATTGAGATCTAAAACCAACTGGATCAAACGATTTATCAGAAAACATTTTAATTAATTTTCTTAAATTTAATGTGCCTAATATTAAATATCTTAAAAAATAGTTTTTTAAATTATAAACTAGTGTGCACTGTGCAGTTCAAACAATAGTTGTAAAATTGTTTTCTAAAGCAAAATAAATAGCAGTTAAACATAAGGAACACAAGTATTAAATACAAATTAACAAAGTTAATAAAGATTGTAATAATTAACTCTTGAATCTTAATTAATTATTATAAATAAACATGAAATAAACTACCGAATGAGAAATTTTTGTTTTGACAGTTACCGGCACATAATTAACCACATTTCCTACATTATCAATCAATAAGCCAAGTGTTAATTGATTTTTTAAACTAAGCGCGGAAGCAGCAACCAATCCTATTAGTCAATCGAGACCATGCGCAGAGGAAAACTTGTCCACGAATCAGAATTACACATCATTGTATCAACAACCAATAGTCTGCAAGTTTTGCAATAATATGCGCAATAGACAAAAAAAAACTGTGAGCCTTGAAGATTGTACGCCATTTTCAGCCATTTTCCAGCGACGACCAGCCGTTGATGGCTTAACAGTTTAGGCTAAAATCAATCAATTACTGCGTCTATCGTTTTATTTAAGAGTTTTTCTCTTTTGTTTGTTAAATTAAATAACAATTCTGCGACATCCGGCAAAATTTTTATATTCCTATTGAGAATTTTGGATCTGGAACATGAGACTTCCAAGGCGTGGGTAAGTAATTGCATCCATTTTTTATTCAAGTAGCTTTTACTCACTTTATTTCTTTAAAAAGAAGTCTGCATGGAATAGTCTAGAATAAAATTTCTTGATAATCGGAATATTTTTGTTACCCTAATTCAGTTTTATGGACAGGGTAATTTTTCGAGTATGGAACTTATTTTTCTCCCTTGAACCCCAAGAAATTGTATTTGTCTATATAGTTAAAAATTTGTCATGCTCAACGTTTGCAAATTGTCGGCGTTTTTCGTATTTTTTCAGCTGTGTCATTATGGGAATATTCTTTATCTTTTACTGCTTATTATTTATTTTAAAATTAATTTTCAATGAAATTATAATGAAATTCATTTCTACGAAATAATTTCTCGATCATTTCGTTTACTTTGTTTCTCTATTAAAAAAAAATTGGAGTTCAATATTTCTATGAAAGAACTGGAAAAAATTGTTTTTTAAAATTATTAACCAGATGCGTTTGTATTCATTGATTTAATAAACTATATTTTGTCTATCAATTGCTATCAATGGCAATATTGGAAAGGTCATGAATCATGGCGATTAAATGTAAACTTCTCCATGGTAATTACTAGGTATATATTTAATTTTTTTTTAAACATTTTAATTTAATTTGTTTCTTTTATCCTTGATAGAATATATAAATAAGAAGAATGTCGGTCCATTATAAATTTAAATCCACATTGGATTACGACACAGTATCTTTCGATGGCTTACATATTTCCGTAGGAGATTTGAAGAAGGCTATTTTTCATCAGAAGCGTATCGGTAAAAATACCGATTTTGATCTACAAATAACTAATGCTCAAACAAAAGAAGGTATTTATTTTTTCTATTTTCTTTCTATTTTTATTTTCTATCTTTTTTTTTTCTTTATCAAAGTTGCTTCTTTTTATTTTAGATTACAATGATGATAATGCACTGATTGCAAAAAATACAAGTCTCATTGTTGCACGTGTACCATTGACGGTACAACAGAAAAGATCATGGGATCGTAATGAAGCAGTTCCGTTTGGAAATTCCAAAGAAGAAACAGCTTTAGGACGTGGGGTAGATTTAACGCGACTTGATGGCTCAGAAGAAGATAAAATTCGCGCTATGATGACGCAATCTACTCAAGATTACGATCCATCAAAGTAAGATATTTTTTCCCCTAATTTATTTTTTTAAAATTTTTGGTATTGTAATTTTTGAATATATGTTAATTTTAAATAATTTTCCTCGCAGTTATATGAAAATACGGGGAGCTAATCAAACTGGAGAAGTTCCGACCAATTACAGATGTTTTCGGTGTCATCAACCGGGACATTGGATTAAAAATTGTCCTTTGGGTTCGAATCAAGAGCCTATTGAAATAAAGAAAAGTACCGGTATTCCTAGGAGTTTTATGGTACCTGTTGATGGTCCATCGGTTCCTGGCGCGATGATGACGCCTACTGGTCATTACGCGGTACCTGTTATCGATCAGTAAGTGTATTTTTACTTCTAAATTATTTTTCTTTCGTTTTATTCATATTTTGTTTCATTATAATTTTTACTTACAGTCAGGCGTATAAGGAAGGGAAAAAAGAGCGTCCGCCTTTTTCCCAGGATCCTGATCCCGTGGTTGAAAAGCCAGAAATTCCTGATGATCTGCTTTGCAATATATGCAAAGACCTCATGACCGACGCTGTCATGATTCCTTGCTGTGGAAATTCATTTTGTGACGAATGTAAGTTTTTTAATATTCTTTTTCTAATATTGATATTGATTTTTCTAATATTTAGGGAAAAGTCGGGGATTTTTATTAAAAGGACTGGAAAAAATCTAATTTTTAGAATTTATTTGAAAATTCCGATTTTTGATGTCTTTTTTGTTTGCCTTATAAAGTATCAAATTACCACGAATTCTAATATAAAACTTTCAATTTTAACTAATTCTGAATTTAATTAGAAATTTTGAAGAACTCAGATTTTTGAGAAACGAAATTTCTAATATTCTTATAGTGATAAAAAAAATTCTATTTAAAATTAAAAGAATTTGGTAATTTTATTGACGCAATTGCTTTGTTGCAGGTATAAGAACTTTTCTCCTCGAGTCGGAGGATCATGAATGTCCGGATTGTGCCGACAAGGACAATTCTCCGGAGACTTTGATTCCGAATCGTTTTCTGCGCAATGCGGTGTCAAATTTTAAAAATGAAACTGGATACGCTAAGAGACCAATATTTAGACCACCAAAGATACAACCGGAAGTAGCTGCCGAGCCGGCAAAAGTGGACACTGCAACCGCAACAAGTCAAGAGAAAAATGTACCTAGTCAAGCAGTTGCACCAAATTCATCTCAAGAATCTGTGGAAAAATCGCCGTCTCAAGTTGAAAATTCACCAAAGCCGGTAGCGAAACCAGCATTATCGACCAGTAAGTTTTCACAAGTTTGCAAAATTATTCGAAATCGAAAAATTGTAATAATTATTCTATTAATCATTACAATTTTAATGAAATAGAATTTAATACAAATAAAATTTTAGTAAAATATCTTTATTAATTATTTTTATTATATATATTAATTTATCGTTCATTTTAAAATTTTACTAATTAAATTTATCTTTATGTTTAGTGATTGCAGAATCTGCATCAGCAGCTGCTTCTGCTTCAGCGGCGGCAACTACACCTGCTCCTGCTCCTGCAGCTACTACTGCTACTGCTTCAGCAACTCCAGCACCTGAACCCGAAGTTCCAAGTGAAACAACAAAATTGCATACCGATGATGAATCGGAAGTTCCTCCTCCACCGGGAACTGAACCCCTTCTACCAATACCTTCTGCGCCTGATGCGTTGGAGCACGAGAAGAAGGAAATCGAGGAAGATTATCCCAGAGAAAGACATCATCGGGAAAATAGACGCGCTTACAATCGAGACACTCATCGCGAAAGGTAATTTAATATACTTATACTATTAATTAAATGGGGCTTGTTATTAATTATTAAAAAAGGGAACAAAAAAGTAAACAACTGATTTCAAACTTCGAACAAATTACTGAAATACAACGATTATTATTATTAATATATCAGGGTTGCCGCAGGTCAGGGAATGTAGAATCAGGGAAAAGTCAGAGATTTCTATTAAAAGTGCTGAAAAAAATTAAATGTTTAGAATTTATAAGAAAATTCTGAATATTTGTGTCTTTTTGTTTCCCTCATAAATTATGAAATTTACACAAATTCTAAAAAAGCCTTCAATTTTTTCTATTTCTAAGAATAATTTATTTTAAATAACATATAATTCTATTGATGAACTGCCATAAATTTTTTACTTATAAATCATTTAATGAAGTATTTTTTTAAAAAATTTTAATTTCAATTTTGTTAAAATTAGTTTCAATTTTAAAAATTTTAAGCCAATTCTTTGAAAGAATTCAACTATTTTAATAAATATCAAAATTCTTTCCAGAAACTCAATTATTTTCAAAAATTTGAAGAAAAAAAATTCTTGTCAACATTTTAATTATCTTTATATGTAAATGCAAAATTCTTCATCGAAATTCAATTAATTTCTGGTATTTTAATCAAATTCATTGAAAAATTCAATTATTTTCATAAATAAAGTTATTCAACACAAGAATTCAATTATTTTCAAAAGTAATAAAATTCTCGTCAACATTTCAATTATCTTTGTAAACAGCAAAATTCTTCGTCGAAATTCAATTATTTTCTGATATTTTAATAAAATTCATTGCAAAATTCAATTATTTTCATAAATAATTATATTCATCACAAGAATTCAATTATTTTCAAAATTAATATAATTCTTCGCAGAAATCAAATTATTTTCAAAAAATTTAAAAAAAAATTGTCAACATTTCAATTATCTTTATAAATGAACAACAAAATTCAATTATTTTCAGGAGTTTTAATAAAATTCATTGCAAAATTCAATTACTTTTTATAAATAATAGTATTCATCACAAGAATTCAATTTTTTTCAAAAGTAATAAAATTAAATTGTTTTTAAAAATTTTAATAAAATTCATGGCAAAATTTCAATTATTTTCAAAAATTTTTCTTAAATCAATGATTTTCAATATTCTACTATTTTAATAAAATTTCCCAAATGAATTCAATTATTAACGAAAAATTTTAATATTCTTCACGAACATTCAATTATTTACAAAAAAAAACTTAAAATTCCACATGCATTCAATTATTTAAAATAGAATTTGCATAAATTTTTTCGAAAAAATCAAATGTTTTAAAATTTTGCATTAAATTCTTCGCAATAATTCAATTATTTTTATAAATTTTAAAATTCCTTATAGGGATTTAATTACTTTTCAATTCAATTATTTTCAAAAGTAATAAAATTCAAAAATTTTAAAATCTATTACTATTTTAATAATATTTCCAAAAAATCCAATTATTTAAAAACAATTTTGACAAAATTCTACACGAATATTCAATTATTTTCTAAAAATAATGACAATTTCACAGGAATTCAATTATTTTGAAATAGAATTTGCATCCATTTTTTTTTTTAAAAAGGCAATTATTTGAAACTTTTTTTTTTAAATTCTTCGCAATCATTCAATTATTGTTCATAAATAATAAAACTCATTGCAAAATTTCAATTATTTTTAATACAATTTTAATGAAATTTCGTAAAATTAAATTGTAAACAAATGAATTTGAAAATTCTCAATAGAACTTTATTAAAAATTATTAAAAATAATTAAATAATAGAAATCTACAATTTAAAAATAGTAGAAAATAATAATTGAACTGAAATAATTTCGAAGAAGTTACTGTAACAATATCGTTATAATATAACTCCGAGTTATCGATCTTTTCATGTTTTAGAATAATAAATATTCTATAAGTTATTGAATTTCAAAAGGTTTGAGTTTGAAATTTTTGAAAAATTCGTAAATAAATGTAATGGAACATTTTTTTGAGTATCTAATAATTTCTAGAGTGAATAAGAATATTCTTTAGGGTCAGGGAAAAAGTCAAAATTTTGTCTGGAAATCAGGAAAAAACAAAATTAAATGTTTGTGTCAACCCTGTATAAATTAGTAATACTGATTTATTACTATTAGTATTAAATATTTATAACTGAACACAAAAAAATTTATTTTTACACAAAAAAATCTCTTGCAGACAATCGCATCACGGTGATTATCAAGGTGGTGGATCGGGAAGTCACATGATAAATCAATCACATTCAAAGTCATATTCAAATCATCCGGGATCTGATGGACACTATCAACATCATATGCATTATGACTCTGGAATTCGAAGATCAACTGAAGATAGAGCTGGAACGCCTACTGTTGATGAACCTCATTTACATGCGCCTCCAGCGGCAAATCAACCACCACTGTTGCCATTTCCACCTGGTGATGAGAGAGTACAAAATACTGGTTACAATCCACCGCCACCGAATATGGTTCAACATAATCCGCCTCTATTGCCGGATCCCTATATGGGTCATCGTGTTCCCATGTATCCTCCTCATCAGCAACAAGGACCTCAGTATCCGCCTCCACCGCGCTACGAGAGGCCTCCGTACTCACAATATGGAGGTGCCCGTTCCGCTCCACCTCCTCGAGGCTACACTGGACCACCAAGACCCGCAAGAGGAATGATGAATCGTAAGTATATTCTATTAAATCTCTAATATTTCCTTTTTTGTTAAAATCATTATTGCAATAATTCAATCAGTTCTATTTATTTATTTTTTACCAAGAGTTCTCTTTTGGTAAAAAAAATAGATACAGTGTCTATATATAAATTCGTTGAGGCAAATATTAAATAAATAATTTTTTCTCCAGCCGGTTACAGAGGTATTCAACCACCACCTCCAGGTTTAGGACGAAATATTCACAATGGAGGACAAGGGTAAGTCGAAGTTAGATTATTATTAAGAGTTAATGAATTGAAAAAATAACAGTTTTAATTATATTTTATTATTAAATAAAACAATATCTTTCTAAGCAAATTTTTTTTTAATCTTTTGTATAAAAACCGAAAAACATTTTTTATAAACTTTTTAAAGGAAAAAATTGTAAACAAAATTTTTTTAAACGTTGGAAACTTGACTCGCGTTAAAAATTGTCAATTTTTGCAAAGATTTTTAATGTGTAATCTTATCTTTTAGTGTCATTGATGATCCTTTGGAGGCTTTCGAGCGCATGCTACGAGAAAAAGATGAGAGAGATCGAAGAATGGGAAAGCATCGTAGGCGCACTAGAAGTCGATCTCGATCAAGAAGTTACACAAGATCAAGATCACGATCCTTTGGTCGTAGAACACCAACACGAATAAGTCGATCGAGATCTCCGCCGTCCAAGAGACGATCCTCGAGATCACCACCACCTCTTAGACGTAGTCGAACGCCAATTAAACGAAGGTCTCGAAGTGGAAGCTTTTCCATGAGCAGGTAATTTTTTTTATTAATTATTTTTTCCCTTCTGTAAAAATTAAATTTTTCTTTATTTGTTCTTTGGCTTTTTAATCTTACTCAAATTGTTTCAAATATGTTTATTATAAATTAGTTTCTTTTATTTATTTTTTATTTACTCATTTTTAATTTTAACTTATTTTTCGCTATTTAAGTTTTATATTCATTCAGTATTTCAATATTGAAGAATAATAATTCAATATTCTTGTTTAAGAATAATGAGAAACAAATTTAACTTTAATTTTTCGTTTTCAGGTCGAGATCCTTTTCTCGAAGTCAATCACCAAGGGGTTCAATACCCCGCGATAGAGATCGTGATCGCGATGCACCTCCTAGATACAGATCTCCCGCCAGATCACCGCCAAGGTAAAAATAATTTTAAAAAGAGACTTACTTTTCTTTTATTTTTATTATTTACTTTTTATGTTTACTATTTACTTTATTAGTACTTCAGGATTGCCACAAGTCAGGGAAAAGTCTGGGATTTTTATTAAAAGTTCTGAAAAAAATTAAATTTTTAGAATTCATGGGAAAATTCTGAATTTTGGTGTATTTTTTGTTTGCCTAATAAACTATGAAAATACCATGAATTCTAATACAAAACCTTCAATTTTTTCTTTTTCTAACAATAATTTATTTTAAATAACATAATTCTATTGAGGAACTATCAAAATTATTTCTTAAAAATTATTTAATAATTTTACTCAAATATTTCAAAATTAATTGAAGTTTAATTAATTAATTAATTCTTAGAAATAAAGGATTTACAGAAGAACTTTTGTTAAAAATAATTTAAAAAATTGAATTTTGGAGAAATTACAAATGATTTTAGAAACTCAATTATTTTCAAAAGAAATAAAATTCTTCGCAGAAATTCAATTATGTTCAAATATTTGAAAAAATAAATTCTTCACAGAACTTTTCAATTATTTTCAAAGATTATAATAAAAATCTTTACACGAATTCGATTATTTTCATAAATAAAAAAATTCCTCTGCAATTCAATTATTTTCAAAAATAATTGAATTCTTTAGATGAATTCAATTATTTTGAATGTAATTTTAATAAAATTCTTTTCCGAAATGCAATTATTTTCAAAAATTTTAATAAAATTCTACGCAAACATTTAATTATTGTTATAAATAATAAAACTCTTCATAAATTCAATTGTTTTAAAAAAAATTTAATTAAAAATTTTACGTGAATTCGATTAATTTCATAAATAGAAAAATTCCTCTGCATCTCAATTATTTTCAAAAATAATTAAATTAAGATGAATTCAATTATTTTGAATGTAATTTTAATAAAATTCTTTTCCGAAATACAATTATTTTCAAAAATTTTAATAAAATTCTACGCAAACATTCAATTATTGTTATATAAATAACAATAATTAAGATTATAAATCTTTTCTCTATAAATAATAAAATTCTTCTCCGAAATTCAATTATTCTTAGAAATTTTAATAAAATTCTACGGATACTTTCAATTATTTTTGTATATAATAAAACTCATCGCAGAATTTCAATTATTTTTAATACAATTTTAATCAAATTTCTCGAAAAATGTAATTTTTCTTAATAAGTTTATTAAAATTTGTTAAAATAATTCCATTACCTATTTAAAATTTTGTTGATAAAATTCTTTATGAGAATTCAATTTTAATAATCATTTAATTACTCAAAAAATTATTTATTTTTGTGTTTAAATAATTGAATTCTCGTAGAATTTTCGAATAAAAATTGATTTAAAAATGAATTCTAGTTAAAATTGTAGATAATTGAATATTAAAAGCTAATGCTTTTAATATTCAATTATTACTTAAAATTTATTTATTGTCTTACAATTAGCATGAATTTTTAGAAATACTTGAATTTTGAAAAGGTTTCAAATTAAAATCTTTAATAATCGAAATATTTCATACTTTTAACTAAACTTTTTTTTTAATAATTATTATTAATTATATTATATTCCGAATAATCGATGAAATTTCTTAAAATTGAATTTTAAACAAATGGATTTAAAAAATCTCAAAGAACTTTTTCAAAAATTGTTAAAGTAATTGATTTAAAGATGAATTTTAGTTAAAAATTCTAGAAAATATTAATTGAATTAAAATTTTAAAAATAATTTTATAGAAATTACAGTAACAATATTCTTATGATATAGAATAATGATTTTATCACTCTGTCATTTTTAATTATCTTCTTGTTTTATAATAATATTTTTGTAAAATGTTAATTTGAAAAAGATTTGAAATTGAATCTTTTGTAGAATTTTAATTACTGTGGAAAAGTAATAATGATTAAATATTTATTTAAACAAGAAGTTCTTGATGTTTTCGAATAATTTTACAAGTAAAGAAATTCGTAAATAAACGAATAGAACATTTTTTTTTTAAGTCTTAACATTTTTTTTATCTAATCATTTATAGAGTGAAATATAATTTTATTTTTTAGGGAAATAGTCAAAATGTCTGGAAATCAGGAAAAAGTCAGAGGAAAACAAAATTAAATTTCTGTGGCAATCCTGTGTTTACTGTTTACTTTAATTTTAGTTTTACTATTCATTAGTACTTATTTATAATTCTTAAATAATTAAAGTAGAATAATTTGGTCTAACGATTTTATTTGAATTTCTGTTTTAGATTTCACAGAGATCGTGAGCGTGATCGTCCAAAATCCCGCGAGACACGAGAACCATTTAATACGTACTATAATGATCCTCCAAATCAGGACTATTCGTTCAGAGATCGAGACAGAGATTTACCACCACGTGATAGACCATTACCACACAGATATCCACCCAGGAATCAAGCACAACATAATGCACCATCAATGATGCCTCCAATAGCAGCTGGAGGTCATCCACCAATAATGCCGATGGGACACCCACCACCGGACAGGAAAGACTATTATGATTCCTACAACAGGTATTTTCGCCCTAATAGTTCTTTAATTCATGTACACGCTAAGCAGACAGTTTATATCGAAATACGTTATGCCGCTGTCCTGGTTTAAATAAGAGACTACCCATTGTGGCGGTTTTTTTTTCATTTTCAAATCTTTATTTTGAAAGTAGTAAACAAAAAAGAAAAAAGTGTGTGTGTGCACGCAGTGAGAATATTTTTTAAATAGTTAGCGTTTTATTATTCAAATAAATTGCGACCTGAGAGTGTTATAAACATTTCAGGAAGACAAAGATATAAATAGTGTGCGAAACAGTATGATATCTTCTTTTTTTTTTAAGAATTTCAATCTCTATGAAATGGAGGTTTTTTAAATTTTTTTTCTCCATGTTTTAACATATTTATTGGTTTGGAAAATATTTTTATTAGCAATTCTATGATTCTTCTATGAAGAGAAAGACAATTACAGTGAATGTGTTGAAACAAAATGATATTAATTGTTTTTTTGTATCATTTTTTTAGAGGATACAATTACATTACCTTGCAGGACGTACAATTGCGTCAATTTATTTATTTATTTATTTACATATTTATAAACGGGACAAGCTCTTTTGTATAAGTTTAAATAAACGACAAAATTTTTTTTAATTTTTCAATTAAATTTAAAAAGAAAAATTTTCGTTCATTTAAAGTCTCAAAACTAGGCAAATGAAATGTTAATAATAATTTTGAAAAGTAATTTCTTGAAATTTTATTTTTTACACACATTTTTCATAAATAAAAAATGTTTACATGCATATTTTGTAAATAAAAAATATTTACATACAATTTACAGTAATGGAGAATATTTAATTTTCTTACCTTTCGTTGATTCTCGTTCATCGCAAAAACCGGGCTGAAGAAAATAAATGTTTAATTAAAACTCTATTAAATTAAAAACAGTAAAAAAGTGGAAGAATTCATATAGAAAATAATTTATTTTCATGCAAATTATTCCACAATTATTTAATAAATTATTTTTTCGATTTTTTGAAGATGTGTGTAAAAAGGTGAAAATAATTTGAAAATCCTGCAACGTAATGTGATTAATGTAAGGAGATTCTTCTCAATATAAAAAGAAATGATGCAAAATTTGGTAAAAAAAATAACACCTGAGAAATGTGATATAGAAACTGTACCTGATATTTTATGAAAAACAAGTCATTAGATTTTTAATATTTATCTATTTTTAAAATGAAACTTCGATCAAATGTTCACATACTCATGGACGAACATGGACACAATTTTAATTTACAATTGTGTGATTGGAAATAATTTCCATTACAAGACTGTTATTTATAGAATATAAATAATAATATTAATGATAAAAGTAATAATAATAATTAGTAATTAATTAAATTCTTTAGTGAAAGACCAATGTTTTGAAGAACAAAGCAATGAGAAATTGAAATCGTTTATATATTTCCAAATAAAAAAGTATTCATAAGAAACTTATTTTAAATCTGAAAATATTTTTGAATTGATTTTAGTTTTATTACTACGTCAGATTAATAAATTCTTATTTTGATCAATTTAGGTAAAAAAAAAAATTATGTGACAAATTTATAATTTGTCTAAAATTAAAATCAAAGTCAATATGTATATAATTTGTCAAAAAATTAAAATCAAAATCAAAAATAAGTCTAAAATCGAAATAAAAAATTTGTCACTATAAAAATGCATAGTAAGTGACTAATTTTATTTTGAAAGAAAAAAGAAATTTTTTTTATTAATCTTTAAAAATAATAAGCACGTTTTATTGCTCTTTCACTTTAAGAATTTAATTTTTATTCAAAAAGAAAAAAAAACTGTTCCTTAAAGAATGGATGTACAAAAATCTGAGTGTTCGGGGAACAAAGAAAAAATATTTGTATTGGTATATAGAATTAAACATCGACAATGTTTAATAACTAAAAAATAATCTCAAAGCAAATGTTGGAACTGAAATCAAAAACATCGACAATGTTTATATCCCTTAATTGAATAAGATTAAATAACTTTTTACTGTTATTTAATCATTTATTCGTAGAAAATGTATAGAATTTATGAATTGCTACGAAGAACAACTAAAGGTTAGTATCTCTAAATTTCGAAAATAATTAATAACAGTATTAATTTACTTTAAACATAATATGAGGAATTTTATTTTTTTGGCAGAAGTATTTTTTGTCGATAGTCTGAAAATAAAGATCGAGAATTTTTGTCTATTAAAAGAAGCGATTTTTAGATAATTATCAATAATCATTATATTATTTCAAGTACATTATTATTTAGGGTAATTGTAGGAGGGGATAATATATTACAAGGAACTGGTGGTATTATATCCACCACTCCATGGTTAACAGTAAAACTTAATCTATATCCAGATATCATCAAAACTGATGATACCAGGATGAGATACTTTAAGGACAGCATTGCTGTTATGTAAAAATATCTTCTTTTTCTAAAGAATTTAGTATCAAATAATACAATGTTCTATGTGTTTTAGTTTATCGCCCTAGCGTGCTGCTTAAAAACAAGATCGAGGGGATAATATATTAATATATTATAATATATTAATAATTATTAATTTAGTTTAAATATTAAATTAATAATTATAAATTTAGTTTATATTAAATTAATAATTATTAATTTAGTTTATATTAAATTAATAATTATTAATTTAGTTTTTATTAAATTAATAATTATTAATTTGTAATTTCCAGGCACCTATTGAAAATGTTTTGCATTGTCGTAGTTTCCAGTCATGCCTAAAGCACACTCCAGAATTCTACGACAATCCTTTAAATTCCGTAGATTGTGATCTAGATTTCGTGCTAAAAATTATTTAACTTCTTCATTTGTCACATAATTTTGACCTTCTTCATTATTTGTGTGATGATCATTCATTAGCTCTTTTCGAACTCTTTCCTGTAAATTTTCACAAATTTTTGAATTTATTAATTAATATTTAATATTAATTTATAAATCAGAATTCATTAATTAATAAACTAATTAACGTCAAAGTAACGGAGAAAACAGGTAAAAAATTTAATTAATTCCATTGTCATTCTGTCAAGTAAATTATTTTGCCACTGATTCTCGATTATTAATTGAATTTTTCTATTGTAGGAATTTTCATCAATTTTTTTGATGCAACCTGGCCTTTATTCCAATCGCTTGAGATTTTTCACTAGAGACAGTAAAATGAAATTTCTATTAGCAGAATGTCAATTTTTTCAACGATATCTATATATATAGATACTTGAGTAATCGTCTGAAAAGGAAAATGAACTTTCCAGCTCACTTAAGAGTTGGCCAAATGTTTCTGCTTGTGAGTTTAGCATAAACTCCTCGGCCTTCACTTTAATCTTTTTTTTTTGCACGAACTTGAGCAAAAATTGATGCATCTGTGGTCCTACGCTTTCCGCTAATTCTCGACATTTGTTGATAAATTTATTCACTCATGGAATATTTTCGCCATCAAATTCAGGTAATAAATCTACCAAAGTTTTTAATGCTGAAAAATTGTTATTTATTATGTGTCTGGAAATTTTCCAGACTTTTATTTTTTTATTCGGCAGATGTGAAGCGAAACTTTCAAGTTTTGTCAGACTGCCCTTCCTTTACTGATCTTGATTCAGGACCAACAGTGAATATCATCTTCATAGCAAAGAAAAGTTGCTAACTTTTCTCTTTAGTGCTAACAGGAGCTCTCAGCTTTTTATAGTCGAATTGTTGACCTGCACATTATTCTTCTACCTCATATACACTCATTCCGACAACAATTTTCAGGATTTGACTGTTTTTTGTGTCGTTAATTCTTCAATTGATAGACTCAATTGAAGTATTCTAATCTTTGGTTCATCCAGTTTTAATGAATTATTTAACATCTTCATTTGTCACATAGTTTTGACTTTCATCATTTGTTTTGACCTTTAATTGATAAACTCAATTGAAGTATTCTGAACTTTGATTCATTAAGTTTTAAAGAATTATTTAACATCTTCATTTGTCATATAGTTTTGACCTTTTTCACTATTTGTGTGATGATCATTCATGAGTTCTTTTCGAACTCTTTCCTGTAAATTTTCACAAATTTTTGAATTTATTAATTAATATTTAATATTAATTAATTTAATAATAATTTTATTAATTAATAATATTTAATATTAATTAATAAATCAGAATTCATTAATTAATAAACTAATTAACGTCCAAGTTTGGCGAGTCACTCTCTCATAATGTCATTGGAAAAATCGTTATTTTGTGCCAACGACGACAAAACGAATATTTCACCCCGAAAATATTCGAAATATATTCAAGAAGAAAAATTACAATCTTTAGATAATTAATTCATTCAGTAATATAGTCTCTAAAATATCTGAAATTAACAAAAATTTCTTAAAGAAAAATATTATTTTTTCGTATTATAACAATATTAAGTTTTCCTTATATTGTAATGAAATAAAATTTTAATATAAGGAATAATGAGAATATAAATAATAAAAAGAAAAAAATGAGAAAATTTTTCCAAATCAAAAAAATTTATGTTTAAAGTCAGTTATTACTGTTATTAAATTTTCAGCAATCTGAAAAAAATGAATTACACACAAAATTTCGTCGTACAATGAAATTTGTAATTTTGTTTCTTACATTACATGGTTTATTATTTATTTTTTTTTTTTCACCAATGTTTTTGTTATTTCGTGTATAGATGTAAGAACTATCAACGAGATAATTAACCATGAGAATTGTGTTGAGAAAATTATTATTTGAAAGAAAGTAAATTACACAAGGGAAGAAAGTTTTGTAATTACAGTAAATATTCTTTAAGTCCATGAAATAATACAGAAACTTTTTTTTCCACTAAAATCGACTATGGCAATATTTATTACTTAAAAAACTTTTTTTTACACTTTCTTCTTTTTGTATTATAAAGTACACTTCCTCTTTGTATATAACAACGGATTCTTGTAAATAATGAAAAACAAAGATATTTTCATTTTTCAAAAAGCACATTATTATTTGTCCCTTTCATTTTCCTATAAATGATTTCTTACTAAAATTGCTTTAAAATATTATTCAAAACTGATTTGCATCGGATTGAAGAAAAAAAAAGATGCAAATAAAAATTAAATATTTTCTAAATTGATTTAATTGATTAAATTGATTATTTTTATTATAAAGATAAAATTCTCATCAAAGTTTTCAATTAGCTTTTTTGGTAAGATTGATTTATATAATTTTTTTTGAATAAAATTGGTTATTCGAATAAAAAGCAAGAAAATCATTTTTGTAAAGAATTTAATTTATTATACGTTTCCATGTTTTTCCATTTAATAATTAATAATTAATAATTGATACTTTAATTAATAGTTTAATTTAACAATTTAATAATTTTGAATAATTAAAGATTATTCATACAGTTCAAATTTATTTAGTTTTAAGGATAAATCGATCGACAAAGAAGTGCAAGAGTTGATATTAAAGGAAAATTGTAAAATTTCGACGAAATACAATGCGATATTGTACGGAATTTTTAAAGAAAGAAACAATTGTACATATTAAATAATACAAAATTTATATGTAGACTAAATTTTTTTAAGGATTTTTAGTTTTTTTTTGTAGTTTCTAGATTATTTTAGCGCATTAAAATTATTGTTATTAACATCAATTTCTTTCTACGAATATTGTATACAAATATATATTTTTTGTAAAGAATTCTAATAAAGAAAAAAAAAATGAAACTCAATGTAAAAAATGTTCGAACAAGTGAACGAAGAATGAAAATTTTCCAACGTGGTCCATCATGGATTTTGTGAGAATGCTGCTTTCCATCCGATTCAAAAGATCTTCAACACTGGTTTCTGATTCAGGTGAATTCAGGGCCAAACCAACATTTTTAACACATTTTTAGCAATGAGTTTGCAATGTCTTCCAGTTTCTGATTAATTTTCAACGAAAATTTATCTTAAAAACAAAGAAAAGTTTCACTGATTTTCTATAAATGTTAACAATTTTACGAAATTTAAGAATAAAAATAATAATAATTACATTGTGAATGTAGAAGCTGGTTATAAATGTTGGTTTCATCTTCCTTTACATCTAATAATTTACTTTTACAGTAAACACGACGGAGACTAATTACACAATGTTTCGTAATTTGATTAGCCATTTCCAGCCTAATTGATGACCATTTCAAAAAAGTTATTCTAATCCATTTCGAATAAGTCTATTGATTACAGCTTTGTCATTTCAATAAAGTGACTTGTTTGTCATGTTGATAATTTGGTAACTTTCTTCAAATGATTTCCAAATATTCTATACTTTTGTTTTTTTAGTAAAAAAAATACCTATGTCATTTTTGATTTTTTCTTTCAAACTTCAAGGATAAGGAAATGTACGTCTTTTGTTTTTTTAAATAATGTATTTTTCTTTTATCTCCAAGGGGAATGAAGTATTCTAAAAGTGTAAATATTTAAAAAATGTAATTTAAATATAAATAATAATAATAATAATAATAATAATAATAATAATATTAAATAATGAAATAATGTTAGCTGTTTGTTGTAATCTGCCAATTATTTAGTAAACTATATTTGCTGTGTACGAACAAGTTTTTAATTTTAATTTAGATATTTTTGTCTTTTATTTTTAAAAAATTGACATTTTTATGAATCCTTGAAGTTTCTGGGATTGTTTTAAATATTTGAAAATAAATGTTTTGATTATTTTTTGTTAACAGATATCCGCCTGGACCACCTCCGGCTAGGTATAATAATAGTCCTCATAGAGAACACGCTCATAAGCGATTTGATGACGTCGCGCCGCCCGGTACAGAAGGATATTATGATTTACCGCCTCCTGGTGTTGATCATTTAGAAAGGCCCACTGACAGACAGCCAAGAGAGCCAGCCTCCAAAAATCAGGAACCCGATGATCGTGAGAGGGGACCTCCTAGAGATGACAGGTAATTCCATTCTCTCCTGAAGTTTAATTTTCGAATTTAAAATGAACAATCGTTAATTTAGAAATTTAATTCAAAAAGGATTTTTTCCTTTAGAAATTAAATTCAAAAAAAGATTTTTTAATTTAGAAATTTAATTTTTATTTTTTTCTAATTAATTTTAATATGTATTTTAATATGTAAAACAATAGGGTAAGAGATCGTGAAGAGAGAATCAGAGAAAGGGACGATCGTGATAGACCAGCGCCGTTAATAAAGGAACGTGAGGATAGAAATCGAGAAAAAGACGATAGAGACAGGAGGGATAAAGATCGAGATGAGAAAATTCCTAGAAGAGATGAAGACAGGCAGTTCGAGAAGAGAGATTATGAGAAAGAACGGTAAATTCCCTAAATTATGCATTTTAATAAACATTATTTTTTTTATTCGAGATTTTCTTCTAATCAAAAATTCATTTTCAGCTTTAGGGATGAAAGGGATCGACACAGAATTGACGATAAGGGACGAATGCGAGAAAGAGAACGCGACAGAAGAGAAAGAGATTACGACAGAGATAAGGATCGCGAACGACATGAACGTTATGAAAAATCGTTTGTCGACAGGAAAAAGAAACGCAGTCCAAGTCCCTATGTATCGAAATCAAGATCCGAACTGAAGGACGCGTCACCCGAACGTTCGCGAAAGAAGGATCGCGATCACGACGATAAACCCGATGAGAAGAAGAAGGAGAAGAAAATTAAGGACAAGAAAAAGAAGAAGGACAGCGAGGAAAAGGAGAAGAAGAAAAAGAAGAAAAAAGAAAAGAAATTAATTCAGAAGGAAGCGCAAAAGGAAGAACAGACAAAATCAACAGAAACAGTCGTTGAAGAAAAATCTGAAGAGGAAAAAGCTGCCGAAGCTTCCGCTCTTCTTAAAGTCGAAAACATCAAACCCGAAGAATCACAAGAAATACCAGTCAACAATGAAACAAATCTCCCATCAGCACTCGAGGAATTCGACGAGAAATCCCTCGCAATTAATCCCGAGCCACCTGAAACTGAGAATTCACCGAAAGTTGAGGAATCCGAACCAGGTTCAAATCCACCGAATCCAAATTTCAAACCCATTCCAGAATTAAAAGCGGAAATTAAACCCGAAATCAAAGCAATCGATAGTTTGTACAGTGGTTTAGACGATGCTGAAATAAATACCGTGATTACGGAAAAATATACAATTCTCCCCGAAAATGAAACGGAGGAAAAAGAGGAAAAACCTGCCGAAGTTGCCAAGTCACCAAAGAAGGACGAATTTCTAGCCCCAGTTCCCGAAATTTCCAAATGGGAACGTGACGAAACTATCGAGAAGGCCGAAATACCCCAGGAATCGGACGAGAAACGTGAGATCGACGAGACAAAGGACAATAAAGTAGTCACGTCCGAAGTACTGAAAAGAGCCGAGAACGCAATTTTCCAAAAAGCCATCAACGCCATAAGGCCAATTGAAATTAAAAAAATAAGCGAGAGTCGTAAAATTTTGTACCAAAATCCAGAACCAAAAATTCTCGAAGTCGAACCACCGCGCGAACAAAGAAAAAGTGTCAACGTGACAATAAACGTCGGCAAGAACGAGAGAAACGTCGAAATCACCGAACCGGCAAAGAAAGCAAAATTAGATCGCTCCAAATTCAAACCAATACCCGAATCCCATTCACCAACTCGACTCTCCGCTAAAGAGAGACTCGGCGATAAAGTCGAAGACGACAAGGAACGTAAATCAAGTCCAAAAATAATTATCCGCGAATCGAAAATCGAACCCAGAAGAAGTCGCGAACGACGACTATCGCCTTTGGACGAAAAGAGACTGGAACCCGTCACTCTCAATCCAGAACGAAAGGTCTTTTTGGAAGAGAGAAAGAGAATTATCGACCGACCCAAGGAGAGGAACAATCGTCCCGATCCCAGAGAACTGCGAATCGATCCCCGTCCCGATTTACGCGCAGATTTACGTGCCGCAAAAATAGAACGCGAACGAGAACGCGATCGAACCCCTCCAATAATGTTCCGCAAACTCGACATTCCGAAACCAAGTCGAAAGGAGGAGGAAATTGACAAGGAAAAGGAGAAGCGAAAAGAGAAGAAACGAGAGGAAAAGAAACGAAAGAAGGAGCATCGCAGTAGAAGTAAATCAAAGGATCGAAAGAAGAAGAAGGAGAAGAAGCACAAAAAGGACAAGGACAAACATCCCGAGAAGAAGGCGAAACACAAGGAGAAAAATTCCGTGGAAAAAATAGACATCGATCAAGCTTCAATTACCGGAAATTCCGAGAGTGTGACAATAGTCGAAGAAACGAAAAAGCAACGGAAAAATCCACGTCTCGTCTCCGATCGTAAACGCAGCGTTCTCGATGAATCGAATTTCGAACCTGATTATTCAGCCACTGAGTCCGAGTCAGAAAACGAGGAGAAAATCCTACCCACCAAGAAAGCAAAAATCGACGAGACACAAGTAATAAAAGAAACCGACAACAAATTAAAGAAACGAATCAAATCCATCAGCTCCGATGATGAATCGAGTAGTACCGAGACAACATCCACCGAAAGTGACAGTTCCGATGAATCACACAAGAAACGCAAGAAAAAACACAAGAAACACAAGAAGAAGAAATCAACCAAAAAAGAATCGAGCACCGATTCTGATAGTTATACAGATTCATCTGATTCAAGTACAGAGGAAGAGAGACATCGAAAGAAATCGAAGAAATACAAGAAAAGCAAACAGAAGAAAAAGAAGAAGTCAAAGCATAAATGACGTCACTAAACAGAAGGAGAATTTTGAATTCAATGCCCTTTCGATCGCTTCGTTAGATTTATATTTTTTTTTAGAATTTATTTTCAATAAGCTGATTATTAGATATTTATTAAGATTTTCAGGAATCTTTAAAAAAAGTAATTTTGTCATTCGTTTTGGTTTAGGAATGAAGATACACGTTATTCTTTAAAGATATACGATTAATTATTTAAAGAAGAAAAAAAAGTAAATAAATTGTACAGAAAATAAATGTGTTACGGGATAAAGCGATGAATGCTTCTTGTCACATATTATTAATAACCATGAAAAAAAAGAATTATGAAAAATAAACATGGAAGTCAACATTAATGTTGTATTGTACTTTTCACAGTATGTCTAAAAAAAATAATGTAGAAATACAATAAAATATAAGAATTCGTAAATTTTTTCGCATTTTATTAATATTCACCAATCCCGCAAAAAAATTATTATAACGAATGTTGTTTTTTTTGTTTTATTCGAATATTTATTTGAAATTAGATCTTCTATCTTCTAAAGTTAGTTGTTTGCTTTTTTAACTTTTTAAATAATTTTTCTTTTCAAATGTTTCCAATTTTTAAATTAATGTAGGTACTGAAAATTATTGAATTCTTGTAAAAGAATTTTATCAAAAAATTTGAAAATAATTGAATTCCTGCGAAGAATTTTATTATTTATGAAAATATTTAAATTCTTTCAAGAAATTTAATTAATAGACTGAAAATAATTGAATTCATCTAAACAATTTAATTATTTATGAATTTTTCTATTTATGAAAATAATCGAATTCACGTAAAGATTTTTATTAAAATTTTTGAAAATAATTTAATTCCTAAAAAGAATTTTATTTCTTATGAAAATAATTGAATTTTTTTAATGAATTTTATTATTTATAAAAATAATTAAATTTCGAAAAAGAATTTTATTACTTATAACAATAATTAAATGTTTGCGTAGAATTTGACTGAAATTTTTAAAAATAATTGAATTTCGGAGAAGAATTTTAGTAAAATAAAATTAAAAATAATTGAATTCATCTAATGAATTTTATTATTTATAACAATAATTAAATGTTTGCGCAGAATTTTACTAACATTTTTGAAAATAATTGAATTTCTGCGAAGAATTTATCTAGGTATATTTATGAAAATAATTAAATTCGTGTAAAGATTTGTATTAAAATTTTTGAAAATAATTTAATTCCTGCAAAGAATCTTTGAAAATAATCGAATTCTTTAGAGAAATTTTATTAAAATTGTATTACAAAAATTTTATCCCTTCAAAGAATTTTATTATATACGCAAATAATTGAATTCGAGTGAAGAATTTTATTAAAAATTTAGAAAATAATTGAATGTTTAAATAAATTTTATTACAATTTTTAAAAATCAATGAATTTTTTTCAGGTGTTTATTTAAAATTAATTATTATTTGTAAAAATAATTGAATTCTTATGAAGAAATTTATTTAAATTTTTGAAAGAAATTGAATTATTTTGAAGAATTTCGTTGAATTTTTTGAAAACAATGAAGTTTTTTAATTATTTTAATAAATTAAAAATTTGATTTTTGAATTTGATTAAAATTTTTAGGATATAATTAAATTTGATAAGCTTACTAGTTTTTTTAATAATTGATTTCATTCAAGAACTTTATTAAAATTATGAATAATTGAATTCTTTGAAAGCATTCTTTAATTTTTTCAATATAATCGATTTTGTCAATAATTGTAATAAATTTTACCTATTAAATTTTTTTAAAATTATTAATAGAAAATTAAATTCTTTTGAAGAATTATTTTTTTTAATTTTTTGCAAATAATGTAGTTTATTTTATAATTTTAATGTAAAATTTTGAAAATAAAGAATTTTTTTCAAATTTCTAAAATAATCGTGTCTATTAATAAATATAATTAAAAATTTCGATTTTGAATTTTAATAAAATTGCATTAAAAACAATTTAATTCCTGCAAAGAATTAAATTTAATAAAAATAATAATTGAATTCTTGCGAAGAATTCCAGTATAAAATTTTTGAAAAAAATAATCAATAATAATGAATTATGTACTTAATAAGGAATAGTAATTAATTTAATGTTAATTAAATAATAAAAATCGTCCAATTTTTTAATAAATATGGTTTTGTTTATTTAATTCTTAGTTCAATATTATTAATCACAATTCTTTAATTTAGAATATTTTAGAAAAAAAAATATTATATTTAAAAAAAAATAGTTCTCTTAAAAGTACGAGATCGAATTTATCAATTTCACTGTCACTTAGTAGGAACAATTAATAATGTAAAAGATTTTTTTTAACAGGAACTCATCGTCGAAACTTTCAATTCTTTGAAGGCTTGAATTATACAAAATAACAATGGTAGACTTTTGCTTTTTTCCGTTTCCTTAACTCCCAAATCTTGCGCAAGGAACGATCGGTCCAGAGGTTGTTTTCCCAATTCACATTCTAAAAAAGCAATCATTTTATTTAAAAAATAATTAACAATTAATTGTAAATATTAATAAATAATAAATATTAATTTCAAATAATTTTCTTTTTATTATTAAGGAAAAAAAAAGTATTACTCAAGAGAAGAAAAGTATTACTCAAGAAAAGAAAATTATTACTCAATAAAAAAGAAAATGTTTCGTTCGTAAAAAATTTTCACAGCAAATGATTTTTTTTAATGGACAAAAGTTAAATATTTAATATTATTATTATTTTTCCATAGGAGATAAAATTTTCGTAAATTTGAAATTTTAAACCTTTTGCAATTCAACAATTTATAAGTAAATAAATATTGCCATTATTTTGAGTATATAAAAATTAGGATAGAAAATAAATGTTTTGAATATAAAATATAAAATAATAATAAGAATAAAAAAAATTACCAGTAACGAAAACATTTGTTGTGTATTTGTAGCCAATCCAATCAAAATATTCTCTAATCAATTCGTTCAAAAAAAGCACATCGTGCGGTGATTTTGGTCTCTTTACTCTGCTAGATTTACTAGAACCATCCAAAAGTTTCATCACTTCAGTTCTCATTTCGGCTTTAATTCTTCCAAGTTGTCCATCGGCTTCCAAAGAGTCCCGTACAGCTGAAAGAAAAATTTTAATTTACCCAAAAAGGACCAAACAAATAAACTAATCCATTCGTATCGAAATAAACTATTAAAAAAATAATTCTGCACATAAATTAAAAGGTAATAAATTAAATATATTTAATAAATTACTATCCACAAGTTTTGAAGGTTCAAATGAACGAAAATTTTTAATTAAAAATATTTTCAGAAATTACTGATTGTAATAAAAATTAAAAATTAAAACTTTATTAAAATTAAAATTCAGAAACTTTATAATTAATTTTTTTAAATTCTAACAAAATTATAGTAATTAAAATGTAATTTGACGAATAAGTAAATTTGGTTCTTTCGAAAGTTCATTAGAACTTTAGGATCGAAATAAATTAAATATATTTCATTCCAATTTCCATAAAATATTGTAATAAAATTTTTAATTTTGTGACAAAGTAATTTTGTCCTATTTTTATAATTTGACTACTTTGACTGATATTAATAAACATTTAATTTTCCGTGAAGTATTGGCACCAATAAAATAACTATCACCGAAGCAATAAACTTACTTTCCGACTGAATTTCAATTAGGGGAAAATTAACCCCATCAACTAATTGATCATTCACTGGATCATCAACATCTTCCTCAAACTCATTTTCATTTGAATCAAAACTATTGGCCTGTGTCAATAGATCGTAATTTTGACCAGAAATTTGTATTTTTGGATATTTTTCATTCAATAACAATTGACATATTTTCGTATCCATTAATTGTCGATCAGAATTTAATATCGAACTAACAACATTGTCAGTATTTAAATTATTTTCTTTCAATTCTAAAGAAATTTCTTGATTAAAATTATACAATAAATTATCGTTCATTTCATTTTTAATCGTGAGCGACATTTTTTTGTTATCTGATCTTATTTTGTTTTGTATTATTTGTATTCTTCGTTGCGTTACACCGAGAACGTAACAAAGAGTCTTTTGACAAACCAACACAATTTTCGTTCCAATTTGTAATTTATAGTGGAATACCGATTGTCTTTGGGTAATTATTTTCTCTTTCTTTTTTTTCGTCTCAATTAAATCCATACAATTGATAATATACTGCGATTGTTCTTCAAACGTTTTCTCGTTAAATAAATCGAAGAGATTTCGTTTATCGTCAATTGTAAGTTTATGACATTGATGACTGCATTTACATATTTGAATCTAGAAATTAAATTCATTTTTAATTTCTCAATTAGAAATTTGAAAATTGGTATTTTTTTCATTCATTTTCTACTCACTTCGGAAAGAGGAAAACTTGCTGGCAATAGGGCATCTTGTCGAGAAACAGAATCTTTAAATTTTGTTCGTTTTGCATCTTGCAATAATCCATCCGTAAATTCATATTTTTTCTTGCTTGAACTTCCTACAGATTTTTTTTTTCGTTTTTATAAGAAGTTATAGACCGCGTTTGTAATTTTAAACAATACTTCATGGAAATTTAATATATTAATCATTTTCTAAATTGTTGACACTATGCGTTATCGCGGACGATCGAAATCTATTTTCTGATTCAACGAAGTTCGTAAATATTTAACGAAAAACTTACCGTTTATTAAATCCTTCTCGGTTGCCATTGTCAAGAAACTATAATGCAATTATTTACAACGAATAAATACTGTTTTAATTACTTTTTATCACTTTTTGATCTTTGATTTCGGTTAAATTAACTAAGAGTAAAATTTGACAGTCGCATGTCAATACAAACAGTTGCCATGGTTACGCTCATTTCCCATTGGTTGCGTGTATCAGCGAATCCCCACTTAGCGCGAAATTCAAATTCGACATAAAATCAAATTATCAATAAATTAATAAATAATAATATAAATAAATAAAAGTAAAAGTATAAGAAAATATTCACAAATTAATTATTAACAATTAACATTTATTTATTTAATTTATTTCAAGAATTAATTATTAATTATTTAATATAAAAAAAATATAAGTTCCAAGATGAAAATTCTTATACTTTCTCCTTTTCTGTCTTTCTGATTTCGAATTACGCTTTGAAGATTATACAAGAAAATTCACAACCAAAAATGCGAATTCTCTTTAATCTGCGGTATTTGTAAAATTTTAATTAATCCAATTCAACCATATGGCAAATTACTATCAAGAAATCGAAAATAAAAAAAATATAGGTTCTACCGAGATTTGAACTCAGATCGCTGGATTCAAAGTCCAGAGTGCTAACCATTACACCATAGAACCGTTGTGAAGTTTTTTGAAAAAATTTCGGACCAACTTAATTAATTTAAAAGTGCATATAATTAGTATAGATAAAAATGATAAATAATTATAATAAATATTATAAGTAACACTTTAACATACGGAGAGATAATTGTTATTTTGACAGTGTCAATAGTTTCGTTCTAAATACAAGGACTTTGGATTTTTTCTCGAGAAATTTTATTAAAAGGATTTTTTTTCATAAAATAATTATTATTTTGTTTATAATAAATGAATTTTTTAATTTTTATTAAGTGGGGTGAACATTTTAGCAAAAAACTTCACAACGGTTCTATGGTGTAATGGTTAGCACTCTGGACTTTGAATCCAGCGATCTGAGTTCAAATCTCGGTAGAACCTTTGTTTTTTATACTTTTTATTTATTTATTTATACTCTTTTGTAGTGAATAAATTTTAAATAAATTCTTTGGGGGATTATAATCTTTTTAATGAAAAAGATAAACGGTTTTTGTGAGAATATTTGTTATTATTAAATTTCATGATGATTTTTATTATTTTTTTTTGATTAATTAATAAATTAATGTGTATAAAAAAAAGAAAATTATTTTCTATATTTCAAATTTTGGCGCGTTTACAGCGCATTCTAGCGGACGAATTTGAAAGTGACAGCATGTAAAAGGCCAACGCAGAATAGATCTGTAACCGGAACCGCAATCGTAAGCGTAACCGTAAGAATGAGTTAAAGAAGGATAGGTATATTGTTTATCCTTCTCTAACTCATTCTTACGCTTACGGTTACGATTGCGGTTCCGGTTACAGATCTATTCTGCGTTGGCCTAAACGTGTTTGCTCCTGTTTGTTTTCTTGACATTTGTACAAAGTGTTTGTTTTCTTTATTTAATTTCGCTTTGTTTACTTATGTTCAGTTGCATTTCGTCGTGTAAATAGAAGTGTAAACTGTGTTTGTCTTCTGTCGCAGTGTAAACATCTTAAAGGTATATTCAAATATTTATTTCTTTCCAAAAATTTACGCATTTTACTTTTGTACATAACCTCACTTTTTGTATACTTGTTTTGAACGTTTTGAATAAGTGTTTTTTAATGTTTTTTAAATACTCAATTACTATCATTATAAATATGACAAAATCGTTGTAAATTATTGTTTCCGAATTTAATTTTTCATTTTCAATACTAGAAAATTGTCAATTTCAGATGAGTTTCTATAATACGCCATTGAAACATGGCAAGGGTATCAATAAACCCTTTCGATCGCCTCTTATTACTGGCGATAAAAATGACAGTACACCGAAAAGAGACAGTACGCCTTTAAGATTAAATCCAAATTTAAATAAGAGATCATTAGGTTTCAAATCTCCGATGAATTCTCGAGGATTTAATTCACCAATGAAACCATTATTGTTGACATCACCGTCGAAAGATTCAGAAGTTGAAACGAATAATTATTCGTCACCTTTGAAAAGAATAGAAAATAATTTACCATTAAAACGTTCGAAACATAATTCACTAAAGCTTCAATATGATGATTCATCTTTACAAAAATCTGAAATTAAATTACATTTGAATTCATGCGAAAAAGATTCGTTTGTACAATCAACCAAATTCATCAAATCAACAAGTGAAAAAGATGAGAATTCAGATAATAATTCTCTTCGAGATAAAAATTGGATCATTAAAAATGAAGAAGAAGAAGAAGAATCGTCTGAGAATTTTGAATTTAAGAAAACTCCTCCAATTTCACCCAAGTGAGTTCGAATACCTTTTTCTATTTTTTTCTGGCAGATTAAAATTAAAATTTCAATAATTTATTTAAGTATTTTTCGATTATCATATTTAAAATTTGACCTTTATTCTTGAGAAGAATTTTATTAAAATTTTTGAAATTATTAAACAAGAATAATTAATTAGTAAATTAGTTAATAATTGAATTTTTTTAAAGTTTGAGTCTGAAATTATTCAAAAATTCATACTTGAAAATAAAAAGTTTTGTAATTTGGAGAATAATAATAAATTGAATATAACGTTTCGCGCATATCATTTGCTAGTATTTTTATAATTATTATTAATATAAATTGTAATATTTTTTTAGAAGTCAACAAGCAATAATTGAGAGTCCAGAGTATCAACCGGTCGTAAAACTTCAGCGTTTGAGTCCAAGTATTGTAAATATATACAAACAAGATTTGATCCTATTGATTCAGAGGATAAATGTCAAGAAACAAGAAATGGTCGAATTGAGAGCGAAAATTCCCCGGGAAAGAAAGGTGTGTATTTTTTTATTTTTATTATCTGAAAACTGTGATGCACAGCAAAAATAATTTATTTTAGTATTCTCATAAAGAGACAATTGAAAGAAAATCAATTTATCAGCTTTTAATTAGGAATTATATCGATTTATTATATATACACTTTATATTGATTTATAAAATTAATTATAAAATTACTGATTTATAAAAATTCGAAAATTATCATTTTTCTAAAGTCAGTTATCACTTTGCTGTATTTTGCAGCATAATCTTGAGGAAATAATGATGTCGATAGGGAAATGGAGAGAGGCGTTTGCTGATGCTTTAGAAACATTACGTTCAAGTTTAACAGAAAAAAATGGACGTTATTTTAGTGCAAGTGAAGTCTTAAAAATATTATCCATTCCACATGACATAGTTCATTTTTCCGAGGAAGCGAATGATTTCATTTTCCCAAAAATTTAGTCCATAAGAAATTTTATAAATTCTCCAAAAGAAAAATTTAAGTTAAGAAATTTACAAATTTTTTAAAGGAAAAAATTGAAGTTAAATTTAAGTTTATAAATTATTTATAAATTCTTTAAAGGAAAAATTATTATTCAATATTTTCCATGTGAATGAGAAAAAAAAAGTATTTGTGTCGAGTAAGTAAATAATTCTTGTAAAGATAATATATATTTTTCTACTAAAATGTGGCTGTAATAAAATAATATTAATTTTGTAATAGCAAATTTTTTATTCTTTACAAACAAATCAAATTATTTCTATATGATAAATTTAATGACTGTGAGGTCTTGTGGGATGATCGGGATCAAATAATTGCGGATCGTTAACGTAATCTATTAATTTCATCGTGTATGGCATTAGACCTGAAAAAAGAAAGGATTTTATAAATTTTGAAAAGGACGATTGATTTAATTACAATTAAAATGATTAAAACGTAAATTCTTTAATTAGAACTTGTTTTGGCAAAAAGTGTTTTACAATCATTTTAATTCTTTAATTTTTAATTCTTTAATCCTTTGAAAATGTATTATTTATGAAAATAATTAAATTATTTTGGAAAATTTTATTAAAATAGTAGATATTGAAAATCATTGAAATTTTGACAAGAATTTATTAAAATTTATTAAGAAAACACTTACCCATAGATTGAGCCTTTGCAATTTCATTTTCCACTTGTTTTTGCCTTTTTGCGCATAAACCAGTTATGTGTCTCCCATAAATTCTACCAGTGTATCGACTTTGAAATTGAGATAGTAATCGAACATTTTTGTAATCTGGTTCTATGCTATGTTTACATAAAATACACTGTATTTTATCTTTTTGATATGGATTCTCATCGAGTTCAATAGGCTGAAAAAAAATATTTATTTACTATTCTAATTTTGTAAATTTACCAACTTTTCAATTTCAATTTCTTTCTATTTCTAATATAATTTTTAATTGTTTTTACTTTTCTCTTTATTTACGAATAGAATACACGAAATAAATTTAATATTTTTTCAAAAATTTCCTTTTTTCAGATATCAGAAGATTATAGCGACGAGATGTTAATAGATTTTTTTCCTTAAATTTTATACGAATTTTTTAGAAATGATCAAGTTTCATCGACTTTTCTAATTATTAAAAAAATTGTTCTTTTATACAAAATATTTATTAAAATATACGAGATTAATTCTAACTGATCAAGTTTCATCGACTTTTGTAATTATAAATCATTGTTTTTTGCGAAATAAGTATTAAAATATACTTACAAAATCATCTACATGGGGATTTGTGACATCAATCTCTTTCGAAAAACCACGAACTGATCCGCAAGTTGCTGTTAATGAAAATTGATTTAATAAAAGTTGTTGTTAAACACGCTTGTTTTAATTATTATTATATTATAAAATAAATTCTTAATATATTACAAAATTTAATTTGACATAAACAGTGCGAACATAACCTTAAAACAACTACCTCGCAAGCCAAGGGGAATATTTGCTGAACTGCATAATATACTATTGAAAATTGTCCTTATTTTCGGTAATAATGACATTTTTATTTGTTTTTTCTCTTATATTAAATGAATTAAATGTTAAATAATCGAGGAGATAGCCGGAAGCACAACCTAACCTCTTTTACTCAAGTGTCGATAAAACAGATATTGTAGCAATCTATCTTACCGACCATTACAGACTGTGCTTAGTAGCAAAGTCTACTCACAGATGTCGCTCGGGAGGCAAAATTGGATGTTGCCAAGTTTTTTTCCACAAACTGTCATCGGTAGCAGACGACAGTCAGTTCGCGGCGGTGCTCCCGCAAGTGTTGTGGATGTTGATTTTCAGTTTGCGTGTTTGTTATTATTCACAGAAGAAAGGATTTGTGACTTAAAATTTATTTCTTTTCTTCTACATTCAACATTACTTTATGTGGTAAAAATTTCTCAAGAAGATGAACAAATGATGTTTTTTCATCTAACAGAGTATCAACAATATCGCCATTCTGATCGAAGAAAAGAGTTCTATTTTTCAATGGTATAGCAGATGAAATACAGCCCCCATTATCTTCGATCCGGCATCTTCTCCTCTCCCTATCTGCTTAATATTTCCGAAACGAAAATATTGCTAAATAAAAAAGAAAACAACAGTGTTTCTTAACCTCTACAAATAATGATTCACATAACGCAATCAGTAAAGTTTTTCTTGGAATTTATCCAGGAAATAAAGACTTTTCTCCCTTGATGTTATTGTGTCCCTTCAAACATAAAATCCATCTTTAATAAATAACCAATTTTTCACTTTTATTGCTACTGGAACTAAGAATGCAAATTGCAAAACAAAGAAAAAACAATGAAAATTTATTATTGATAAAGTTTTAAAAATGATAAAGTTTTGTTAAATTTTTCGAATCACACGCCTCTTTTGGCACATTAAACAAAATAACGATAAAAATGACCGTGAATAAAGTGGTGACGTTAATAATCTCGTAAACAATCATGAAAGTAATTATAGAAAACATGACTGCCCTCGATGCCATTTTGAAAAATAGAAAATTACAAGAATATCGAAAGTGATACAGGAAAGAAAAAAAAAGATGTTGACAGTTTTTCATCGGGTGAATGCTCTGATTTAAGGAACGGGATTTTTTTTTAAATAACAAAACAAGTGCTGGTTTTTCCTTTTTCGCGAGTGAAATTTTTTTTTGAGAAAAAAGTGTTTTAAAAAAAAGGAAAAAAATGGCGACACCTCCAGATTCGCCGGGAGCAGAAGACGCACTTTTCGAGTTTGAAAATCCACGACCACGACACCAAAACACAAGGCCTGTTGCCCTCGAAGAGCTCTTGAGGCAAACAAAATTTTCCCGACAGGAAATCCGTGTTATGTATCGCGGATTTAAACAGGTACAATATTATTATTATTATATGTTTATTTACAAAAAAACAAATGAGGCGTATCGAAAATTTGTCAAATTTTCAAAATATTTGAGTTTTATATATTTTTGTCGGTTTTGAAACAATATATATTATCGTAAAAATAGTTACAACTTTTTTTTTACCTTTTTTTTGAAGGAGACATGTTGGTGTGTCTATAATTGTTATATTGATCCGCAGGAAATTAATAATTGATATAAATACTTATATATTGACAGAGTGAATTGTTTTCGATTTTCATTCATAAACACTGTACATGTCGAAGGATAAAATTCTTTTTATATTTTTTAAATTACATTCAAATTGACTATTGTATTTACTTTTTGGTTCACAAAAAAAAAATTCAATGACAGTTTAAACGTGATTTTTTTATTTGCAAAAAGTAAATAACTTGACATAATTTTATTAACTAAATAACTAAATCTATTTTTTTTTGTATATTTCAAAAATAACAAATAATTTGACATAATTTTTCTTTGTTTGTAAAAATATGAAAAACTTAACCTAATTTGCCCCCCCCCCAAATATACATAATCTACAATTCTATCTCCTCCTTTTTTTTATCCAATATTTTTTTTCCGGCCACAATTTGTCCGCACGAAAAAAATATTGATTTACTAAAATAATCTCCCTCTTTTAATCTAGTAAAACAAAAAAAAAATTCTGATTTTATTTTCAAAACGGAAATTCAATCTCTTCAACGTGGATTGTACGATATGTAAATTAAATTTCCAAGGAATATTCGATGTTATCATCTAAATTACTTTATAAAAGGTTACATTTGAAGTGGAAATCAAAAAAAAATTTTTTTTAATAGTAAAAATTTACAAGCGTTTTATTTTCTTTTTTTTGCTCGAAAATATTTTTTGTGACTTTTGGCATTTATATATATAAATGGGAAAAGACCATTTTAATTTTTTTTCTTTTTTGTTGAAATTTTAACGTGTGTATAGTTAAAAACTGAGACGTGTATATATATGCAATATTCGTCTAGCGCTTTTGTCCGTCAATGAGTTCTCAAAGAAAACCTGAAATAGGTGCTTAAGCGGTGCAATTAAAGTACTGAAAACCCACTTGAAAAAAAAAACTTAAAATAAATGTAACTTTAAAACTTTACATGTTTTACGTGAACACACGAATTCCAGGTGTATATTTACATTTTTTCCGCCATTTACATATATGGATGTGATAATAGTGTATTATTATTATTATTATTATTATTATTATTATTAATATTTATATTTCTATTCAATTTCTACATACATATATAAGGTAATTTTCGAAAAGTTTATATTTAAATATATTTTAATAAATTGAAATGAACTGAAATAAATTTAAATAAATTTAAATAATAAATTGTAATAATATTAATAATTTAAATAATATTTAAATAAGTATATGGTGGTTGAAATGTAGTTTTTTTTAAACACTTTTTGTGTTCTCGTGAAAATTAGGGGGAAAATAATAAATTAAAAATGTTTTAACTTCCATTGAAATAATTTTAAATTCTGCATTTGTTTTTTGACAAAAAAAAACAATTGCTTCATCTAATTTTGAGAAATTTTAATTATTGTAAATATAATGTCTTTTTTTACTTATTTAAAAAAAAAATTGAAAGTTTTGTTAAATATTGTGACAAATAAATATATGATGTTCTTTAACACTTTTTGTGTTCTCGTAAAAATTAGGGGGTTATTTATATTTATTTAAAGAATAAATCAAATTTTCAACAAAAAATTGTAATTATAATAAAGTAGAAATTAAATTTTTGACATTTATTTAAAGAAAAGAAAATTTTGTTAAAAATCGTGATTAAAAAATAAAAATTTTATATTCAAATTTTTTAATTCTCTAAAAAAAATACTTGAGATTTTTGTTTAAATTTTGATGAAGAAATAGAAATTTTGCAAATTTTTTTTACTTTTTAAAAAAAATTGGATGTTTTGTTAAAACATTGTGGAATTAATAACCATTTTTACTAATTCAAATTTAGAGAGAATAGTATTTCAAAATGTGAAAGAAAACTATAAAAATAATAAATAATATAAATTCTTGACTCAATTTTAATTAAACATTTTTTTTGGAGTTAAAAACACAGCTTTTCATTTTTGAGATTAATATCAAGTGCGGTTAAATCTTTCCTGAAATTCATTAAAATCTATATATTTATAGGGTCAAAATTCGTGAAGTGGGCAACTAATTTTCAGTTGGTCAATAAGTTTTCATAGAATTTATGTTTTTCTGTTTGAAATAATAAATAAAAAATACAAGTTGAACAGTTTTGCAAAATTCGTTTTTTTGTTGTACATATTGTTAAACAAACTTTTTTGCATGAATTTAGAAAAGTTTTTTTTTTAAATAAAGTAATAGGTAAAATTTAATGATTTTTGGTATGGTTATATAAAAATAACACGATTTTTGATTAACATTTTTCATTTTAAAATTTAACGTAATTTGATAAATTTATAAACAATTTATTTAAACAAATGAAAATAAATGCAACTTCTCGATCTGTTATTTTATTTTTCAAAATTGAATATTGTTCCTTATTTAATGCCCAAGTATTACCAAAAAGAAAAAATTGGTATTTTACATTTGTTCAAAAGAAATAAATAATTATGTTAATAATAATAAGCATTAAAAAATCATAAAATCTTAAAAATATTTTTTTTAGCTTCATTAATTAACAAAATTAATTATAAAAACCTATTAAAATAATGTTTGAGTGTTTCTGATGTATGAAAAAAGTATAACAATTTATTAAATTGTTTAAACAATTAATTGTTGTTATTTTTTTAAATCTGCACTTAGGACTGGAAATTTCTAGTTTTTTCTCAATAATTGTGCAATTTGTCAAGAGTAAAACATCTTGTAATGATAAAAAATAAAAAATAAATTAATTAAACATTGTTTAAACAATTAATTGTTATTTTTCTCATAAAGTGTACTTAGAGCTAGAAATATCTAGTTTTTTCTAAATTCAATCAACTAAAAAAATTAAATTTAAAAAAATAATAAAATAAATGTTAATAAATTGTTTAAACAATGGTTAAATAATAAATTTTTAGTTTTTCTATTACACTTAAGTGTTTAAGTTATATAAAAAATGTCACAATTAAGAAAAAACTAGGAATTTATAGTTTTAAGTACAGTAAATTGAAAAATTAATAGAATAAATTGTTTAAACAATGTTTAAATATTTAATTTTTTGCTTTTCTTTGATACGTAAATGTGGTAGTTACAAGAAAATGCACAATACAGAAAAAACTAGAAATTTCTAATCCCAAGTACACTTTATGAGAAAAATAACAATTAATTGTTTAAACAATGTTTAATTAATTTATTCTTTATTTTTTATCATTACCAGATGTTTTACTCTTGACAAATTGCACAATTATTGAGAAAAAACTAGAAATTTTTAGCCCTAAGTGCATATTTAAAAAAATTACAACAATTAATTGTTTAAACAATTTAATAAATTGTTATACTTTTTTCATACATCAGAAACACTCAAACATTATTTTAATAGGTTTTTATAATTAATTTTGTTAATTAATGAAGCTAAAAGAAATATTTTTAAGATTTTATGATTTTTTAATGCTTATTATTATTAACATAATTATTTATTTCTTTTGAACAAATGTAAAATACCAATTTTTTCTTTTTGGTAATACTTGGGCATTAAATAAGGAACAATATTCAATTTTGAAAAATAAAATAACAGATCGAGAAGTTGCATTTATTTTCATTTGTTTAAATAAATTGTTTATAATTTTATCAAATTACGTTAAATTTTAAAATGAAAAATGTTAATCAAAAATCGTGTTATTTTTATATAACCATACCAAAAATCATTAAATTTTACCTATTACTTTATTTAAAAAAAAAACTTTTCTAAATTCATGCAAAAAAGTTTGTTTAACAATATGTACAACAAAAAAACGAATTTTGCAAAACTGTTCAACTTGTATTTTTTATTTATTATTTCAAACAGAAAAACATAAATTTTATGAAAAATATTGACCAACTGAAAATTAGTTGCCCACTTCACGAATTTTGACCCTATACATTATAGGTAAATTCTATTTGAATTTTCTTCTCAAAATTCCAACAAAAATTAATTAATTTTTAGCAAAACTTAATTCACACGTTGTTGAAAAATTATGCATATATATTTTTATATGAAATATAAATTTAAATTAATAACAGAATTTCGGATATGATATAGATAAATAAATAAATAAAAATATATATATAAAAAATATAGAAAATAAAATATAATTATAAAATCGTGGGCAAATAATGAAAAGGGAGAATTGAGTTTTTGTTATCAGTGATCAGTCTTTTATACTCTTTTTCATAATACTTTCCTGTAATAATGGAATGTATGCATATCACGCATACCTATATATATATATACATTTTTTGTACACGTATATATATATATATATATTTTTTTTTCTCATATACATATTCATACATACGTATATATATAATCCTTGCCACAAAACTGTTTCACAGAGTTAGTAGCACAAATAATAATCGATTATATTGTATAATAAATTGCCTTGTTAAAACCCAGCTTATTCATCATCGAGAATAATTAACTGCCTTAATTGATAGACACATTTACCTTCTAACAATTTAAAATAATTAGTATTTTGGTTAAATTATACCCCCACGGTGTTTTTTTCAGAAATTAAATTAAATTTTGATTTACAGTTATAAAGTATGCGAATATAATTTCTATATAAAAAATTATATAATTCGTATTACGTGCGAAGAAGACTTAAATTAAATTATTAAATCACATTTATACAGTGTATTAAGACGATAAAATAATTTTTTTCTGATTAGACTGGAAAAATTATTATTTACATTAATTTATTTCGCTTTTCTGCTTTATATCAAATTTGAATTTCGCGCCATTCTAGTTCTGTAAAGTCCCGTCTAGAAGGCGTGAAAATTCA